GTGATCAGAGCTGACCTTTCTTGGTGGCTCGACAGGGACCAGACCAAGGTGGGGGTTTCAATTTCTCCACCTCATCTGGAGTTACATCTGTACATAGATGCATCTTTGGTGGGTTGTGGGGCTTTCCTCAACTCACAAGAAATTTCTTGTCTGTGGTCAGTTGAGGAGTCTGAACCACATATCAACATCCTCAAGCTCTTAGCAGTTCGTCGAGTTCTGACCCAATTTTTTTTAACTTCTGCAGGGGTGGGTGGTTGTGGTGTGCTCAGACAATTCCACTGTCATCAGTTATGTCACCAAGCAAGGTAGAACCATATCTGGGTCTATGTGTTTTCAGACCTTGGATCTTCTTTTCTGGGCCCACAATCACCATGTGGTGGTCTTGGTTTGTCATGTTCCTGGTGCTATGAATCTAGTTGCTGATCATTTATCATGTCACAACCAGGTTCTCCCTATGGAGTGGTCCCTTCATCCACAGGTTTTTTAGTAGGTGTGTTCTCAACTCGGAACAACTCGTATCGATGCTCTTACCACTCACTGGAACACCAAACTTCCTTCCTTTTGGTCTCCCGTTCCACACTCATTAGCTCTTGAAGTGGATACATTCTGTCAGGATTGGATTGGAATTCACATCTATGCTTACCCTCCAATCCAACCCCTATCCCAGAATTCTATCCCTCATCTAGACCACTCCTTGTCTATACCTGCTTGTTGCTCATATTGGCCTGCTCAGCCATGGTTCCTTCTGCTTTGGCCTTTACTTGTGCAATGTCCCCTGCTCTTACCTCTGTCTTGGTTGCTTCTCCATCAAACTCGATCAGACATTGTTCATCCCGATGTCACCAAACCCTGTCTTCATGCTTGTCTTTTGTCAGGGCCTGAGTCCTTGAGTCGCATCTTTCCTCTTCTGAAGTATCAGACCTTCATCCTTGACTGTTTACCAAAGGCATTGGTCTATCTTCCAACTTTGGTCTGTTCACTGTGGCTTCCATCCCTTCAGTCTTTCAGCTTTCCCAATTCTTCACCTGGTTGTTTGACCATGGTTTGTCCGTTTCAACTGTATCTAGTTATCGGGCCATCCTGTTGAACACCTTATGTTTCTCTTTGTTCTGTAAGGTTTTCTCTTCCCCTGTTATATCCCACCTTTTCTGTTCCTTTTGTATTGTCTGTCCTCCATGTTTTTTTGTTTTACCAGATTAGGATCTTAACGTAGTCCTATATGCCCTTTCTCATTCCCCCTTTGAACCTCTTGTTATGTGTTCCTTGTACTATAGTTCCCTTAATATCTGTTTCTTCCTCCTCCTTGCTTATGATTGTTGTCATTCAGATATTTATTCCATTTATATTTCCCGCACCCTTTACCATTCCTCTTGGGTTATCCTTTACTCTGACTAGTCCTTTCTCCCCAAGACCTATGCTGCCTGGGAAGGTGGTTTGGCCTTTCTCACCTATTTTCTTACCTTCAATTTCCTAACTGTCTTCCCATTCTGATCCGGATAGGCTTCTTTGTCCATTGTGCTTCTTGAGGTGTTATGTGGCTCATACTGTTCCCAACTGTTTATTCCCTGGAACACTTTTGTTTCCCATGATCTTTCACCTGTTACTCTCACTGTTTGGGTTTGTCAACTTGTGTGGCTGGCATTTTCAGACTTGTCCATGGAAGATCACCATCCACACAACATCTTTTCAGATCCAATTCATCATATTACTATGTCTTTAGCTGCTTGCCTTCACCGTCCTTTGTTGGAGATCTTTCAGGCTGGAATGTGGACTACTCCCAATGCTTTCATCACACATTATCTGCATGACCTGACTGTTTCTTCCTCTGGCAGATATTGTCTTCTCCCTTGGCAATTCTACACATGTCTGTTCGCCTTTGACTGGGGTAAGTCTGATCACTTCCTCTCTTTTATGTTTTTTTTAGCTTCCCTAATCGTAACATCTTTATGGATCCCATCTTGTGACGGGTGTTGCCTGGTCAAGTATGCCTTACCTCAAACCTACACTAGTTTAGCGTACGTATATAATGTTCACTGTTGAGATGGGGTGTTTCTGTAAGACCACTAGCTGCTTACCCAGTGGTATGTATGTACTAGTTATCAATCAATTTCAATCTGTGATGGACCATCACTCATGAACTTCATGAGTAAAGCAGAAGGTTATTGTTGCCCATTCCTGCCAACACTTTGATTGTATATATTAGGGTCGGTCTGCTTTTCATAACAGGGAATTACTGGCACTCATTGCACAGCCTCCTCTTTTTCTTCTAGTAGAGAATGAGAGTCCTTACCACTCCCATTTCCCAGTGACTGGAATGGTGGACCATGAAGGCTTCCTCCTGAGTGGGTTTTGATATTTACTTTCCCATACTCTCGTTTATCCACCCAGCAAGAAGATGGATAAGCTGGTTAAACTACTTTTAGACAAAGTACTTTATTCAATTGATCTTGCATTTCCTCCAGGCTGTTTTTGCCCAGGTGGACCACACTGGACAAAAACCACTTAATCAATTATACAAGGCACTTCCTTTGGATGCTTTTGCTGGGTGGATTGCATTTGACAAACCCACTCAATTATTCAAGGCATTTACCTTGGATGTTTTTGCCTGGATGGACCATACTCATCAAAATAACTGAATCAATTTATAATGTGTTTCACCTGGATGTTTTTGCCTGGGTGGACTGCTCTAGACAAAATATCTTATTCATTTTATAATACTCTTCCCCTGGGTGGACTGCACTAGACAAAATACCTTAATCAATTTTAAGGCATTTTCCCTAGATATTTTGCCCAGGTGGACCACACTCAATAATAAAACTTCATCAATGGGTCACAATGTCAAAACCTAGCTTGAATTTCCCTTGAATGTTTTTACCCAGGTGGAACTCACTAGATGATATAAATTCATCATATGATAAAAACAAAGGACCCTACTTGAGTTTCCCATGGATGTTTTTTCCCAGGTGGACCTCAATAGACCAACAACCTTATTCAGTTGATGTCATCAAATGACCTATTTGCATTTCCCTTTGATGTTTTTGCCTGGATGAACTGCTCTAGACAATTTCCTTAATAAATTGATGTCTTCATGTATAGATCACACAGTCTTCATGCCCTTGTCACGTTATTATGATTTTTACACTAGTACAATATCAGGCACAATTCTGTGAAAAACGATAAATATTTTTTTTGGAACACCCAGCCCTATCATCACTTGTCCAGTGCTGTAAGTATTATTACTGTTTTCAATTGTGCCCGTTTTTTCATTCCACCCCTTTTTTGTTATTTTCCTGTTTCATGGGTGAAGAGCATACTTATTTCAGAAGTGGTGCGGTACCCAGCTGGTGTGCTTCATTTTCATATTGTTACATCTCCGTTCGTTAGTTAATTTTCCGTAAATTCTTTCCGACTAAACTTTAGCGACACAAGTCCTTTCTTAAATAAAACTGGTTTATTCTTTCCGAATACAAGTTTACGATACACTCAATTTCAACAGTCGCTCTATAACAAATGCTATAATTCACGTCTCACATGGCCAACAATATTCTGTCCGCATACATTCAATTACTCATTACCTTGTTCCGTCACGTTGTGACCGTCTTATATATAACAGACTACCCCCAATCTAGTAGTCTCCCGATAATTCACGAAGGTTCGAGAAGGACGTGGCATGATACTAGTCACGTGACCTCGCTGACGCAACAATATCATACCACACCCATTCATTCAAAGTGGTCACTTTCTGTTGATTTGATATTTGTACTCCTAAGCTGCCCCACCCCCACTTTTGCAATGTGAGATTTCAGCTTTGTGTGAAAATGTATTTCTGATAGGTACTGCTTTTTCTCGTATACTTTCCATCCTTCCTCCCAACTGAGGGTGTTTTTATATTAACACCTGCCAATTCTCAAAAGTGAAGATTGATCAGGAATAGCAGAGGGAGCTAGCTGCACCGGTATAGATGGTGCAACACTAATGGTGGAAAGTAGTCACATGATATGTGCATCTTCAGAAATGGTGTGAAACTGATGGGGTATAAAGACTGGTGTGCTTGCAGCAAAAATTTTTTTACCAATACATAGAGGGCAAACAAGGATTGAAATAACTGTGTGGAAAGAGGCAAGTGCCTATTGGAAATACATTTTCAATGTAAAAATTGTTAACTCTCATCCTTCTAGTGCTAACTAGAAGATGGTGATATATCTCTAGTACAATTTTTAATTTCCAATCTCAACTTTCTAGTATTAACTGTGAGATGTTGAGATATCTACAGCACAGTGGTTATTTATCTCAGAATTTTAGTATTAAACTGTAATATGGTGAAATACCTGTAGGACACTTAATTACCTATCTCATCCTTTTAGCATTAGCTGCAAGATGGTAAGATATCTGTAGCATAGTTATTGGGTTGTCAGTTTGACAATACTAGTATTATCTGTAGGGATTAAGAGATAGTTCTACTCATTTTTAGATTATTTTTACAGCTTAACCAACAGCAAAGTCTGGTAATATTGCATGTTTGATTACTCTCTGAGGTCACAGGCCTGAGCTAGGTAAATGTTAGGAGTGACTGCTATGCTTTACACACAGATTTTTCTTTATTCTGCAGAAGGATTCCCATCCAGGACTGCAAAGCTAAACTTTAAATATAATTTGTTAATTAACTGTGAATGTTTAGTGAAATTGATTTGTGATTAATTTTGCTTGCTCTTATTTTGTCTGATTTTTCTGAAAACCACTAGTCAGAACACACTAAAGTTTAAGAAAAATTGATTATTTTGAGATATATTTTGAAATGCACCCATGATATATATTGAAAATATTCCTGTTAGTAACTCAGGAAGTGATTACTATTAATTACTAATAAGTTGAATCAGTCATTACTGTTCAGCAATGTTTTTAAATTTGATTGCATATATCTTGAATTGTGAAGCAGTAATAAAGTAAATGCTGTTTTGAAGTGAAAATGCATAATTCAAGTAATTTCTTTTCCTGAGTAGTTCCCAACATTGTATGGAACATTAACAAGATCACCCCTGAGGAAGGACAGCAGTTGTCACTCGTTATGGATGAAACTGATGGACAGAGATGGTGGGACCAAGTTGTCTTGAACAAACTTATTCTGGCCTCAAATAAGTTGTCCACAATTTCATCAGAGATCTCAAATCTTGTGGATCTCACTGTACTTGATGTAAGATATATATATATATATATATGTGTGTGTGTGTGTGTATGTGTGCTATACATAATGATAGTCGTTACAGTTCATTGAAGAAACTGTACTGGAAATACGTCTACTAAGCAACAGCATAAGTTGCACTTATATTTACCAAGTAGTGTTTGGTTTTAATTTTGTAGCTGTTGAATGTATTGCTTTAATTTTCACTACAATAAATGATTACATAAATGGGATTATAATTTTTATATGAGAGAAAACCTGTAATCAGAATTGCAAATCTTGTAGCATGTTTTTGGATGTTACAGCCCAAAGGGAAAATTTGTGAAAATTTTTGCAAAGTCTGTAGCAAAGACCTTATGAATGTATCAGCCTCAAGAAAAATCCTGTAAGCAGGCTTGTAATGTATGTAGCAAGTACTTCACTCTGTCTTTGCATAATTCTAAGAGATGACATACTGGAAATTTCATCACTCCCAAATCTCACCTTGTTCTAAAGACAACTCATTATCATGAAATTTAGTTGGATATATAACTTTTAGCACTAGTCTAATGGACATTGTGTAGTGTGATGACTAGCACTAGCCTAATAGACATTGTATAGTGTGATGACTAGCACTAGTCTAATAGACTTTGTGTAGTGTGATGACTAGCACTAGTCTAATAGACTTTGTATAGTGTGATGACTAGCACTAGTCTAATAGACTTTGTGTAGTGTGATGACTAGCACTAGCCTAATAGACATTGTATAGTGTGATGACTAGCACTAGCCTAATAGACATTGTATAGTGTGATGACTAGCACTAGCCTAATAGACGTTGTATAGTGTGATGACTAGCACTAGTCTAATAGACGTTGTGTAGTGTGATGACTAGCACTAGTCTAATAGACATTGTGTAGTGTGACGACTAGCACTAGTTTTATGGTACCGGCCCTTACACCTTCCAACTTGATAACGCTCCTTGTCACAAAGCAAGGATTGTGAAGGCGTGGTTTGAAGAGAATAACATTGGAACATTGCAGTGGCCAGTAGAGACAGTCCTGACCTCAATCTGATAGAACATCCTTGGAATGAACTGGAATGCAGAATTAGGGCAAGGCCAAGATGGCCCTCTTCAGTAATGGAGCTTGCTAATGCTTTAAAGGCAGAGTGGAGCACAATACCACCAGCTTTCTACCAGAAATTAGTAGATAGAGTTCCACAATGCACTGAAGCAGTCATTGAGGCCAAAGGTGGGCCAACATGCTAATAATTTCTTGGAATAAAGAGATTTTTTATTCATAACTACCTGTGTTTGTTTGTTTGTTTGTAATTAAGCACAAAGCTACACAAAGGGCTATCTGTGCTCTGCCCACCACGGGTATCGAAACCCGGATTATAGCGTTGTAAGTCCGCAGACATACCGCTGTGCCACTGGGGGGCAACTACCTGTGTCCCATGACTTTTGGTAGGCTAGTATATAACTTATCCATAAAAGTATTATTATTATTACAAACTAGAACTGGTGTATTTAAGTGTTTTACACTCACAAAAAGAAACCTATCATTTTATGGGTATTTGAAGAATACAGTTGACTATTTTTGACAAAAGAAGGGGATTTTATTTTCCAATCTTCAGTTTACTCACCCTAACACTATTGTTCCATCAGTATTGTTAAAAGTGATTATTACCTCCCAATTAAAAATATTTTTAACAATTAGTAATAATTATAATTCTTTTATGGATAATGTTAAATATGAAACTACATTAAAAGTTAAGCTCTTGTTTGTGGAAACTACCTAGGGGACATTAGTTACTTAAGGTTATCCTTGGTTTAATTAACTAACTGTTTGGTATACTGGGGCAGAATGACCAACTTCATGTAGCTGGGATTGTCTCAGCTCACCCGGTCTATACTTGAAAATTTTTTTAAGATTAATAACTATTAATGTAAGAATTTTCAGTTTTATTTAACATCACTAATTATTAGATAAAAGGGTGGAGGTTGGGAGTTTTATATAAATTTAGGGTGGCACACTTCTACTATAAGAATAACGTTTTTTATAATATGAAATAAAAAGGTGGAAGTTGGACATTTTATATTGTGGAATTTTTAGGGTGGTTTAGTTGTACATTAAGGTTATTTTTAAATATTAAAGTCCCCACTCAACTCCCAACCCTTAACAGACATTATCCATTATGACTTATGGATGACAATGAGGAATGGTAATGGAGGAATGATTTTGAACTTATTTTGTTTTTATTTTATATTAAGATCATTATTGTTTTATAGTGCTGATTTTAACCGCCTATAAACAAATAATGTATTTCATAGCATTAGGTATATATATACGTGTGTGTGTGTGTGTATATATATCATCTTGTAGGTCAATTTCATATACACACACAAAAACACAGCACCAGATGTAAGCCTGCCTTCACACCTGTTTAGCCCCTGCTATCCCTATTCATGGTAACTCATTGCACAGACCTGATACAGATGCTAGAAAATTCCTGTTCAGTCAATGTATCTCTATAATGTTCTCCACTGTGTGAATTCCCTCCAAACTGTAGAAGTTCCCTTTGATTTCTGCATGCACTCACTTATTCTGGTATTTTGTGTAAGAATTTCTCCAGTATTTTATGGGCAAACTACACATACGTGCTCTGCTGACTGACTGCCTGAGATATAATGGCCAACTGAGCAATCTTCTGCCCACGTATACGACACGTTAGCACCATGTAGAAGGTTCTTTTCATACTACCTTTTGCTCTACCACCTTTATTGGGTAAAGAGAATTCCGTGCATGAGAAGGATGTGGTATCCAACCATGTGATATCTCACTAGGTTACACCCCACCATAGTGGGTAACACACTATACATGTTTTCCTTTTTTGGTACTATGAGTTTGGAAAGGAGCTCATCTTTGTACTTTTTATACACTAGCCTGTCCTGCATTATATCGATGTGGGATTTTAGTTGTTTATTCTGTGGAAAGGTGAGTAGTATTTATGAAGTTAAACATTTCCCTATTGGAAAATGTATTTCAGATAAATACATTTCCACAGAAACTCCTACCTTTCCTCCCCGGTTGCAGTGTGGTTCTTTTGCATCGCCAAGAATGAGCCTTTACTGAAATGCTAGTGCTCCTGGGGTTTACTGTGCATGGAGGATGTGGCACCCTCATATTGGTGGAGAGGTATAGTCTAATGATGATGACATCATAGGCTGGTAAAATCAACCTTAATATGTGTAGGAGTGGGAGTTTCATTCAAGGCATGTTACATGCACAAAAATCTACTCAGCAATGGCATGAGGTCATAACTGTTTGTCCCGTGGAGAGATAAATATCTGTTCAAAATACATTTTCAGGTAAGGAAAATCTTAACATCATCTGTTAATCATAGTTAACTTGGTAATTGTTGGATCAAAGTTTATTCATTTTGAGTTAATTTTCTTATTTGTAGCCTTCATTTTACTAAGAAAGTAAAAATACTTTGTTTAAAGTTGTTACTCACAACTACTTGTATCTGCAGGTTTGAAATTTGCTTCCTTCTAATATGCTTCCCTTTGGTCTGTGAGGTGGACTTGGTGTGATGAAGTAACAATTTTAATTTATACTCTTAAGTGATAACCCTATGCATTTGGTCTCACCAAACAATAGAGGAACTTGGGAGCAATACTTGTATAATAAGGTTGCTCTTTAGTTTGTTTACACAGCAGTTTTCAGTACCTGAACTATATCTAGTAATACTAAATTTGTTTGTTTTGTATAGAGACATTATACAGTAATTAAAGTTTATATGTTTGGCTAATGCATTTATATTTGGAGTTTTTATTTCTTTCTTTTCTTAAATGCATTTGTGTCCTTAGACCTTAGTCACCCTAGAATCAAATTTATAATGGTGTTATTTCATCACAAGATTCACTTGACTTTTATCCAAATTCAACATAATAGTTTCTTAATAATTAATTTTATGTTTCTTTTAAAACCCATACATTCTTCTTCTCCTATAGAAACACTTAACAATTAATCAAGTTAGACAGCCTATTTCTTGACACGGACTACAGCTGGACAGTAGGCTTTATCTTCCCCAAATTCAAATTTTCTTGTCTTTTCATTACATCAAGTTTAATAATAATTGTTTAAGAATGTCGATTTTAGTGTCTGGGTTATTAGCACTTGTTTGGTCTGTTGATATATCTAGATGTGTTGACTTCTCAAATTACATTAAGTTTTAACATTAGTTGTTAAGCTTTATTTTACTTTGTTGGTTAGTAAAAACTTGCCATTTCAGGTACATGATAATCAGCTGACTTCTCTCCCTGACACTCTGGGTGATTTACTGGCTCTGACCAAATTAAGTTTAGGGTGAGGCTTTTAACATTTTCTTTAACTCTTGTTGAAATAATTTAATATGAAAAATATCCTTCATATAAATTTTTTTCATTGTTATGATTGAATGTATCTAATGTCAACTGTAATATTAAACTCAGTTGCAGTAACCATAGAAATTAACTTGAGCATGTCTTAATTAAAAGAGAAGTCCCTGTAAGTATGGAGAGGAGTTTATTTTGATTATTTTTTTTTCTACTCTGAAACTTTTTTAGATATTAGTTTTAATTTTTAATAAATTGATTTATATATAGCTAAGAATTAACATTGGTCAGGTTTATTGTGATTATACTGGTACATACTCTTCCACAAGTTGTGCGTGTGCGAAGTTAAGGTAGTTAATGTTTAATGAAAGTGAATTGATTAATTATATCCTTTTCTGAACATTATGAAGATTGAACTGTTTTCTGTTGGAAGACAATCAGGGTGAGCTTTTATTTAGATAAATAAAGATATAATAGAATTTCAAAACAAAGATGCTGTACTGAAAATTAAAAAGTAGAAATAAAAAATTGAAGAAAAAACAAGGTTTCATCTGTTTGCTTTTCTGCTTTTTCTTTCCTCATTTTTGACTTAACAGTAAATTTTGATACAATTATCTAACAGTGAACACTAACCATAAGTACAAATTTCAGGACGTGAGTAAACTTGTACTTTGTGTACCATATGGAAACAGGTCTATGATAACATTACTCCTTAGGCAACATATTTTATGGCAACAGGAAATTCGTTACTTATAAGCTTATGGTACATTACTCAGCAGTAATCATCAACACTATGGAAATGGGTAATGTATAACTTTGTGTTTTTTTAAAATAAGTCCTGGATACTTAAATGCAACTATGAGTTTGAGTTTTTTGAGAAAGTAGATATTTTTCTGTATGACAAATAAGGAGTTTTGTTTATGTAAATATATAAAAAAGAAAAAAAGTCTGTTGTAGTAGAAAGTATAGCTTATTCTGCTAATATATTATTGAGAAATATTATTTTTTATTTTTCTTTATGATAGTTCTGTTGCCATTAATTTAGTTTTTATTTTTCTTCAGTTGCTTGAAAAGTTTGTATCTGTGTAGCTTGTGTTTTTGAAGTACAGTATTAAAGAAAATTAACATGTGCTGTGAAAGAAATTATTTTTACAGTTTAGATTGGTCAACTTAGGTCTTAACAAACAAATAAAATTAAAATTAAAAATCTGTTGCTGGTTAACTCAACACGTGGTTTGTGAAATTAGAGTTCATGATACACAGAAGTACTGTAAAAGTGTGTACTCATATTTTGTTCTCTTCTTTCAGGCATAATCATCTTCAAACTTTACCCAAGAACATCTTTTATCTTAAGGAGTTGCATTCTTTGTTTTTACAATACAACCAGATTGAAGTTTTAGAGGAAGATATTGGCCAGCTGACACTTCTGGAGCATCTGGTACATTAGTTTAAAATTATTTTGTTGTTGCATGAGTTCACAACTCACTATGCTACATCGTTTTATCTTAAGGTGAATTTGCATTGTACTATTTGTAGTACTTTGATACTTTGAAGTCTACCCTAGACTAAAACTTAAAATTCAGGTGGATGAATTTTATATACATTATCAAGAAACCATAATAGATTACACTTTTTCTCAAAACTAAAATTACTTGAAATATATGCTCACAGGGTTAAACAAACTACTACGTAATATTTATGAAAAAAAAGAAACTCGTATTAAAATATTTCAGATTCACAAGTAGCATTTGCTCAAGATTTATTAGTTTATTAATGATTCTATAAACTCTAAAGCTTCAGAAGTCACTGCTAGCTAAACTTCAGATTGTAAAGTAAAAACATGATTTTACAAGCTTTAGAAGTCATTGATAGCTACACTTCAGATTGTACAGTAAAACCATGATTCTACAAGCTTTAGAAGTCACTGATAGCTACACTTCCGATTATACAAGTATACACATGATTCTAGAAGCTTTAGAAGTCACTGCAAACTACACATAAACCTGATGCAGGTTCTCTACTTTGCTCCTATTCAATCTATTCTTATGACACTTCCTTTCCTCCTGGGCAAAGAGTGTACCCTGGTATAGAGGAGGTGTCATCTCCCACAGACGTGCCTCTAGACTGTTTCATGGTATAATGTGTTGCACTCCATGGGTTCCCTTTGGGTGCTTCCAGAAGGGTAGGGGGTCATCAAGATAAGATTTTTCACTGGTCCCTCCACTATTTGAACATGTGATTCTAGCTAGATGTGAGTGGTGGTTATGAATCATTTTGGAAACTAACATTTTCTGACACTGAAACTGTATTCCTGATAGATAGTTATTTCTGCTCACACTTCCCACTTTTTATCACTACTTCTGGTGCATCTTATTTTCTTGCTTAATTTTGAAATATCAACTTGAACAATCAGTATAGAGGGAGCCAGTCATGCTAGGAGGCAGTGTTGTATTCCTATTGGTGGAGGGTTGTTGCATGCTCATTTGCATTCAATAATGCAGCAATATCACATGGAAATGGGAGATTAGGTGGGAACCTCAAGGCTAGTGGCAAGCAAAAAAGAATATAGAGGGCAGCACTGAATTGGGAAAACTCTTTGTGGGGGGATGTGAATATCTATCAGAAATACATTTGCATTGTTGGAAAATGTTAACTCCTAAATGCTTTAGAAGTTACAACTAGCAACACTTGCAGTAAAACATGTTTCTGGAAGCTTTAGAAGTCACTACTAGCTAAAATTCAGAATCTATTGAAGATGTGTAGTGCATATATTCAACAAGGAGCAGATAAGACTGGTAGAACATATACTGGTGATGTTCTTCAGCTCAGTTTTCTGATGCAAGTTTCAGTGCATTAATACTTTGGTAGATCTGGTTATAATAATGTTAATGTGGCTGGTTGAGTTGTCTGTCTAGCTGTGTTGATATTCCAACTCTTAACTTCAACAAGTTGGCTGCTGTAAACTTCTTAAATGTGGAGATTCTTACATCATCTGGACCTGGAGCACCACATTTAGATGTTATTCAGGCTATTTATATCTCATCTAAGCTAAAGATGGCTTCCATATCTGAAGTGTTTATAGTTCACATTAGAGATTACTGTAGCTTGAGCAACTCCTGTAATTCCCCACAGTTGCATTGGTTTATTTACCTGCAAATGAGGCCGTGCCTTGGTATTTTTATAGAGTGGGATATAATCATCACCATAAATGAATGACATTGCCAAGTTTTTGGTTCCTGTGCCAGCCATAAAACTTGTGAAAAGCACCAGAATGAGGTGTTTGTGACTGCTCCTTTTGCAGAAGTTCTTGACTTTTCTCTGTTGTGGAGAGATGTTTGAAGGCATGAGCACTACCATCCTTGTGTTTGATATCCTTGTATGGGTTGTGAAAGAAATAATTGGCGAAATAATTGCATTGGATAACCAGTTGTTACTAGTGAGGGGTCTGTTTGTTTGATGTAGAAAACAAAATGTGAATGAAACCAAGCAAAACATGAATTAAACCAAGAAAAACTTTTTTTAAAGCTGTTCTAGGTGTCAGACTGCAATTTCTGGTTAGGTTCTGAATGTCAGTGTCATTTCTTTAACTAAAGATATCTGGCCCTGCTTAACAAAAAACAATAGTTCATAAAATTTACAGTATGTGTGAATTAACAACTTGCTGCTCTTAATGTTGTACATTTTTCTGGAATTTATACTATTAATACAGTAGAGAAAGTGTTAGATGATCTGGAGAATATGTAGAAAGTCAGAAAAATATTCACCTTCTAATAAGAGTAATGGGGAAATGTTTTGAGTGATTCTTATGATGTTGGATTGCCAAGACATTACAACTTGTGATCATGAATACTGTGAAATCTCGGTGAACTGTAGTTGAATCTACAACAATTAGTAAACAGATTGTTACACATTCTAACCATTTGTCTCTAGCGCGTTATGTATTAATGGCTGTAAAAAATTAGTTAAATATACCTCAGAAAAAAACTTGTTTTAGATATATAGACAGGATGAAATTCAAAGTATTACCTATCTGAAAGGTTTTTGGACCCAAAAGAGTAACATGCTGTGTTGCTGACAAAAAAAATCACCAACTAATAATAATAATAATGATCTGTATTGGAGACATGTTTAAAATAGCTACAAATGTTTGAAGAAATTATTAAAAATATCAGCCAAACAGACTCAACAATTTCAGAAATTATCCCAACTCTTCTTCACTATCCGTTGAAGGATAATACAAACCTCTTTCACTAGGAATAGTGAAAGTATCCTTGAAAGAAAGGCTCAAATACAGATTTGTTAGAATACAAAACAATCCAAATTTCACCTTAACTACTTTGTTTGCTCCTCCCTTTAAAGTAGTATTTTCAAAGAGCAACACAACCAAGAAATGGTCAGAGTTGGAAAGAACAAGAATTAACACCAATTTTACAATCATTTGTGGTTGAAGATAGATATAGTGAAATGCAGATGGCTCATCACCACTATCTATTAAAATTTTACAACAGGAGACACAACTCAATCTGGAACTTCTACAGTAAAATATGTGTTGGTACCTGCAGCTTTAATGATATTAGTTAAAAAAGGTCATGACCAATAAATATTTGTCATAGGTGTAACTAATTTCACTTTATCTATACCACTTTTAAAACAAAAGTGTAATTGTAGAGTAAACTGGGCAAAGATACATTTCCAGTACTATCTCAGTTAGCATAAAGATTCACTTCCAGATGGCAATGAACACCTATTTTCTCAGAAGCTGACAATGTCCATGAGGCAAATAGAAATTGGTTATTTCCACAAAACGAAGAGTTGCTACTGTTCAAGTATTAAACAAGGATATCTGAGTGAGAAAATGAAAGTTGCAGTGCGTATTCATTAAATGACAAGTGAAAGATAAAGGTGATATGTTGTTATGATCCAGTATTGTTTTTTGAGAATGTAAAACCAGAGTACTTAGGCTTACTGAATTTTTTTTGAAAACTGATCAGTATTTGTGTATTAATAATAAAACAGTACCTTATGTTCAGAAATTTAAAATGAATATTAAGTTCTTTTAAAAAACTTGGACTGCTGATAATTATATTTAGTGAAAGACTGATTTAGATCATCTCAGAGTAAAAGATTGCTTAGAAAACTAATAGTCACAAACCAATGCATTCCCAGTGACTCAGCAGTAAGTGTGTTGACTTTTATACTAATAAAAAAAACAGCCTATTGTGTAGCTTTGTGCTTAATTACCAACAAACAAACACTTACCAGTACTAAAACTATTTAAATTCATTAAGTTTAATAAATTGTATATTGATCATAAGAAAGAAAAATCATAAGGTTTGTAAAATATCAGAATTAAATGGATTTGTACACTGAAACATAAAACACAAAATATGTTTCAGTCAAGCTTGTTTTGTAATTTTTGTTTTATTTGCTAAAAACGTCAAAGTAATTAATGTAATTACTGTTGTAATTAATTAAATTAGTTAAAGGACCTTGTGTGTCTTAATAATTTTTAACTTCTAATTATAGAGTTTAGGTGATACTATTTGGTTCATAGCAAAATGACTGAATAAGCCAGATACAAACTAAATCCTTTACAAACCTATTAAGAACAATTCAGATTTTTACCATTCATTTCTTTATCACTTTACTAACTAATGCTACAGAAGTTTCCTGTGCTATGAAACTACAGCTACTCGTAGATTAATATTCTAGATCTTTTAATCATAGATTAGATTTTTTATGACGTTTTGAACTATCACTATTCATTTAGGTTGACAACAAAGATTAGTTCTTATTTTTTGAATTGTACTTATCAGCTCCAGTGTTTTCTTAAAATTTCCTGGCTACTTTACATAGTTCTTGTTTCTTGAATTGTCATTTTTGTCCTTCACAGGATCTTTCATATAATCGGTTAAGGAGCATACCATACACATTAGGGTACCTCACTCATTTGTGGAAGTTGAATTTATCAAATAACAAGCTGAAGTTCTTGCCTCCTGAAGTTGGCAACATGTGTGGTAAGTGTTCTGTTGACAGAATAGATGTAATTAATGGATTTAGTATTTGTTTTCGTAGCAATATTCTTTTGGTGTGTAATTGTAAACATATTGTTTGTATTTGTATTGTTGCTTGGTTTCTCATCATATGTTATGACTGATAATAATAAACATTTTCCATCATTAACCTTTTTCTGTGTCAGGCTTTTTTTTGGAAGTAAGTTTAAAACAGTCAGGTTTTTATTTCACTTTTTAATAGATTGTACTTGTATATTAATGAAACAAAAATTATTTTATTATATTTCTGCACAACATATACATAATGATAATTGTTGTATATCTGGATTTATATGTGATGTATATTGAAACTTCAGTAAGGAACAGGAGTGCTTTTCTCTAATGTTCATTTCATAACTTGTGGTTATAAAATGTAAATATTTATTATGAGTAAAATTGATTTTTCTTTATTATCCGTATTCACAATGCTTTTGTGGATAAAATTTGGGGGAGAATTACTAGTTTGTTTAATTAGCTTTTGTCAAGATCTGTTTTCCATGGTTGAAGGCAGTATTAATAGTTTGAAAAGCTGTTTTTGTGATCTCTTTTTTCATTGTTGTGGCAGTGTTACTAGTTTGTTTAGATAGCTGTTTTCAAGATGTGTTTTCCATGATTTAGGGCAGTGTTACTAGTTTGGTTAGAAAATTGTTTTTTTGAGATTTATTTTTCATGGTTGTGACAGTGTTAATAGTTTGTTTAATGAGCTGTTTTTGAAATCTGTTTTCATGGTTGTGACAGTATTACTTGTTTAAGTCAGCTGTTTTTGAGATCTCCTGTTCATGGTCGTAATAGTATTACTAGTTTGTTTTGACCAGCCAGATGGGACAATGTGTAGAAGCAGAAAGGGTCCTTAGTCCATGTTCCTGTATGTATGGTAAGTAAACTGTACCCCAAAATGTACAGTCTGATTATTGCTCTGGCCACACTACACCTCATGTCCCTCTGACTTGTTTTCCACCCATCTGTGACACAGCTAATTTTTGCTTTCCTCCTTTCATACATCCATGCAGGCGAAGAGTATATCCTTCTTGAGAAGAATGCAGTCTTCCATGAGAGTTGCCTCTCTAGAAAACCCCAGTGTTGGGTGTCATGCTCTATGGGTTTTTCCCCTTGTGACATCTTCTTTGAAGGGAGCTCATCTAGGTTTTGTGTTTGCACCAGTACATCAGTGTGGGACTCTAGCTACTGTGTGTAGAGAGGTAAATGGACCATTTTAGAAGTTAACATTTTCCTTATCTGAAAAGACTGATAGATACTTATCTCTTCCTTCCCGCTACTTGTGCACAGTATTCTTGCCTTGTCTATGAATGATGATAATTTCCAGTGCAATTGCTTATGAGGATTTACTGCATTTGGAAGATGTATTGCCTCCTATTGGTGAAGGGCTCTTGCTGCATGATAATTACATCATGTACTAACACAATTCACATCACAACACATGAATCAGATGGGAGGTAGTTCAAGGACCAAATTCTTCAGGCAGTGTTTCTTTTTCATCTCCTGGTATTTCTGTAGATCTGTTCTCAACTTACGAATCCTTTTATCAATGTGTTTGTGATTTCCCTCTACACCAAGCTTGCATCAATCCCAGACTCTTGTTGGTATTCCTTCTGAGTTGTTTGGTTACCTCCTATCAAGTTTATCAGTTCACAGATTCTCTTGCCTCTAGCTGTCAATGCCCCTGGATGAGATCTTGAATATGAGGATTAGATAGCCCCTGACACATTTGTGTCTCATCACTTACACCACATTTCAGTTTCATCTGTCTCCAGGTTTGATCTACCTTCAGGAGGATTAATAATTGTTATTATAATTTTTTTACATCACCATTATTTTGTCTATTTACCTGTATACTGGAGGAGATGGAACCTACTGTGTAGGTGGTATTGCCTTATAGAGAATACTTCTCTCTCAAAACTTGCATCAGGTGATGGTGGTGGTGGGATTACCTGTTAAGTGTCTGGTATAGAGTTGAGGTTTTCCACAAGATTACTTCAACAATATATACTTTACAAACAAAAAAACAGGATAGCATCATGTGTGATCCTGCCCTCACATCTGCTGTCCCTATTCATGGTAACTCAATATAGTCTATCAGCGTAGGATCTTATGTAGATAAGAGAAAATTCCTGTTCAGTCTATACATCTCTCTGGTGTTCTTCTCTTTACAAATTAATTCCTTCCTCCAGTTTACTTCTATGGGAGTGAAGGGAAAACCCTTGCTTCCCCAGTCCCAAGCTGCTGGGTAGGTTGCTATGGAGAGTTCCACTTTGGTAACTGTAATTCAACTGGTATGAGATCAAATGCTTGCATCCTTTGATTGAAAGTAGGGCTGAGATGTTCACCTGGAAGTGTATTACAGACCATCACCTTCTCTAAGAACCATACCATTCCTGGTGGTTTTGACAGTTTGATGGGTCTTGTGTTCTCCTCACAATGCAGGTCTAGGATGATTCATTTCTGCACCTGCTTATTTTGGTATTTCTTGCATACTGTATGGCCTGACTTATTGCCCTAGCTACAAAACACATGCCTGAGTTATATAGGCCAGTTTAGCAGTTATTAATTCTCCCCAATTTAAGTCATACCTTGCAGATTGTTGATGTTCTGTTTTTATTTATTTTTTTACAATACCCACTTACAAAATACTTCTGTTGGATGAAGAATATTCACTGCTTGATTTGGATGAATGATGCTCCACTAGATCCTTCCTGAGTTTCCCTTCCTCTTTCTATATTCTCAGAAAGGAGTCCATCCTTTTAATCTTTTTTTTTTTATCTATACTGGCCCATCCACCATCTTCTGAATGTGGAATTCTTGCTCTCAGTTTTGTGGAGAGATGAGTAGCATATCTGGAGTTAAAATTTTCCTTACCTAAAAATGTTTTTAATATAGATACTCATCCTCCATAGAACCACCCACCTTTCATTCCCACTTCTTATTTGTATCATGGCCTTGTTAAGAATGAGCCTTTGGTATACTCACTTTGCTCAAGAAGAGTAGTATGCATGGAGGATGTGTCACTTTTGTATTGGTGAAGGACTATAGTCTAATTCTCATTGGATCATAGCCAGACATAGTACATGTTATTATGAGTAGTGGTAGGAATTTCATTCAAAGTCTTGGCACATGTGCAAAAACGTTTTAGGTAGTTCTGTAGAGAGGTGAGTATCCATCTGAAATACATTTTAGGTAAGGAAAATGTTAACTTTCCTTTGGTTACCAAATAGTTGATATCTAATATGCTAATTATTGAAATTAGCTATGAAATTAATGTAGTGAAAAATGTTTTCAAATTTTACAGATACAGTTTGAAAGATGATACTGTGTATACTGGATGTTTCACAAAATTCTCATTGTATTATTTATATACAATTAGTTTTATTATTATTATATTCAAAGTATTATTTTTCTATGGTTAAGTGTAGGGAAGCTATTTTTTATGTTAAAAATGTTTTTGATTTCTAGCCCTACGATGTCTGGATATCACTCATAATGCTCTCACTAAATTACCTGATGAAATTGGTAGTTTATCTAAATTGGAACAGCTGTTTGTGCGTCACAATCAGTTGGTGTGTCTTCCTTTCCTCAAGAGTTGTACTTCTCTAAAGGTTTGTTTAAACTCAGAAATTTATTGTTTTCATTATAGACTTGCAGTAAAGATAAATTTTTTTAGTTGATTAATATACCATTCCATTCAGTCTCTCTTTCAAATATCAAATGAAATGAGCTAGCTAAGAAAATGAGGGAGATCAAATATCAGCATTGATCAAATTTTTTTTGAGAATAACTTGTTTTTCTGATGGAAGTGTAAATAAAATAATTTTGTACATTCTCTAGAGAATAATATGATAGCATAAAAATGTCTGTTCTTTGGCTTTATCATCATAAAAGTTTTGGAAAAAAACACACCACCTTGCAGTCTGTTTTATTTCAGCCCACACATTTCTAGATTTCATTCACTTATTTACAATCATCTTGGTTATTTTAAAACAATGTTTTGTTTTTTGATTTGATTTTTAAATTATATGTAGGGTTTGTATGGGTTTTGGAAAGCCTTAGAAAATTGTACAAGCAATTTCCTGGGACTAGAAAGTTTTGGAAAAATTAGAATTTACCCCAGGGATTTGGAAAAGTCATGGAAAATGAAAATTTACTCCTGCCATTAATATAAAATATTGTTTTTCCATAATTTCTTTATTTGATGATTACATTGTATAATATCCGAAGGTGACAACCTTCCGAGCGAACCCTTCATGTTTTCCCTTAGTGATGAGCATGTACTGCGCATGCATGAATAACAACTTGAACAACTTCAGCAGTATAAGGTTGAATGAGGCCATGAATGCCTGAGCCTTGCCATTCAAGCAATCATGTAATCACAATTCATCCATTTTTTTGTCATTTTTTTATGTTCTGTGGTATTGACTTGAATGTGTAGTTGCATAAAACATGCTGGGCAAATGTTTATTTAATGATGCATGGTTTCTGAAGGGTTAGTACAAAAAATAGCTTGTTATGCATGCACATCACCAAGATGGTGGTTGCAGTGTGTGCCATAAAAAGTTTGATATTGGTAATATGGGTGAGCCCACAGTGATAAGCTGTGTGACAAAAAACATGAGTCTAATGTGCATAAATTGCACTCATCAGCAGCAGTTTTCCGACCATACGCAATCTGAATCTAGGCCGACACCAGACAGAACATCAACGGTTAGGCCTACTTTTACGACAAATCAAACAATTATGTTAAATTTAATAAAGCTGCATTATTTTGCAGTTAGCCTTGGGTTGATTCACTTCTTTTCCAGCAGATGTTGCCACCTCATTATGTAATTTATTAATTATAATGCAGACTGGATTCATATGTTTCAAAAGATGTGTGGAAAGCTGAGGATTTGTGAGTCCTGAAGACCGTTGTTAGTCGACACAGTTACAAAAGCTGTGAAACATAAATGAACAATTTAAAAATATGTTCTCAGATAGGAAAATTGCATCCAAGTTCTATTGTAGAGAGTGTAAATGTGCATATGTGGCTTGTTTTGAATTGGCCCCATATATTAAATCAAATTTGTATCAAAAGCTTGGACAAGATACAGAGTTTGTGCTTTTGTATGATAAATCCTTAAATGGTAAAAACCAAAAGGACCAACTTGATGTGTACCTTTGGTACTTTGACTTGGAAAAAAATCTTGTGATGACTAGATTTCATGATTCTGCATTTCATGGCCAAACAAGAGCTAATAATCTCTTAAGCCATTTTGTACAGCTGGCAAAAAGAGCTTAATTTTAGTCATTTTTTGCAAATAGGGATGGATGATCCAAATGTTAACTGGTCATTCCATGAAAAATAATAATCCAAGTTAACCCTACCTTAAAAGGTAAGGGGTCAAAGGGCATGTCATCATGTTTGCAGACTTACATTAAAAATTTTATTGAACTATTATTTTATGAATGTATGTATAACCAATTGAAAGCTCATAATGTCCCCCATGTGATTTTCTCAGCATCTGCAAAGTGTTTACATCTGAAAGCCTTATTTTTCATGGTAGAATTGAAGTGGAAAGGTAGGAGATCAAAATATCATATTTTTTTACACCTAAGTACTGCTTAATTACGTCACCAAACATAATTTTTAGGGCATTTGAAAGACGCTGGTATTCAAAAGACAACATGTTTTATTATTATCTGGAGGTTATAGAAATTTTGATAATTTTCTTGTGCATAAAAGTATTTTCAATCTTAAAATCAAAATTACTTCGCATGTTGGATAGTAACATTCAAAATGAAAAAATGCATGAGCAAGTCATTAATTAAGAAATCTTAAAACTTAATAAAAAAAACCCTGATATATTGTGTAGAATAACCTTGTAGAGTTTACTGATAATCTGCAAAACTTTGTGAAGATATGTGTACATCTTAAAGAATTACAGTATAACTGCTTTATGGTTACTTTGGGGATATGGGCTGGGTGGAATCCACCAACCTGTAGTAAAAGGGTTAAAAACTACAACATCAGACCAATCTTTAATCAACATTGGGTTTTGTGTACTGCCTTTTCAAAGATTGTGCATCCAATCGGGAAGACTAAGAAAATTACTGGATCTTGTACATCTGCACTGAAATTTTGTACCTCTGTTGTACACAAGGAAAAGGAAATTATATCATATTTCCAAACACCCGTCAAATAGTTGCAGCCAAATCAAACTCTTACACAGTACCAAAAAGTCAAGAATTTAATACTGTGAAACCTGCAACAAATGATATCCTTATCATAGCAAAGTTATCATTTTATGTTTCTATGTCTGATAAACTCTCCATTTTTGATGAAATATCAGATTGACCACCATGTACTGCCTTTTGTCAGCTGTGGTCTTTAGTCTATGATCAGAAATCTTCTGAGAAGGGATGTAAAACACAGTGTGCTCTCCAGAGCAGATGCTGCATTTATATTGTTGAAAACTGACTTAAGCAATAGAGAAAATATCAAGCTGGTCATTATCAGTTTTTATGTAACAGAAAATATAAAAGTATTGATTGCCACAGAGATGAGCTTGCATTTCGCAGTGAGTGTCTGTCTATTTTGATCTGTTTAATTGAGAAATTGCTAGTGAATTGTCCATTGAAATACTCATTTACTTGTAATGTCACCTGTTTTTCTTCTCAAAAAATGGCCTTAGATGCAATGGATAGTAAGGCTCATTTTCAGATTGTACTATATTGTCCATTTGAAATGTCTCAAAGCAGAAAAATGTAATCTCTTAATCAGACTGTATTATTTGTTTTTATCTCCGGTTGTGGAGCCAGGTTCCAGCATCTTCAAGGATTTTTACTTCAAAACCAATAGGCTTGATTGCTTTTTGTTCAAACAAATGGGCCAAGCTAAAGATTATGAGTTCTTATGTTGTCAAGCTCATTTTGATACTTTTTCTTGGCCAAGCAACTGTTGAAAGGGGCTTTTCTGTGAATGAATGGTTATTGCTTTAAAACATGAAGGATGTCTCCTTTGTTGGTCAGTGGTTAATCTATGATTATGTGCAGTCAGTTGGAGGTAGTCTGGAAGTTTCTTTGTTAAAGGAACTGCTCACTGCTCCTCAAAGTGGTAGATAGAAATATAACCAATACTTTGATCAACAGAGGGAGATGGCTGAACTGAATGAAAAGACACAGAAAAGGAAACATATCCTTGAGGATATTGCAAAAGTTAAAGCTAAGTGTCAAAGATTTGAAAAAGGTATAGCATTCTTAATTGAGGGTGCTGATGATCTTGCTGACAAGGCAGTATGATAGATTTGACAAAATCAAATAGTTTCAGGTAATTGGCAAAAGAAAAATCTTTAGAATTAATGATTTTGCGTGGAAAAATTGCAAAGATGATGGAAAAGTCAAAGAATTGTTAATCTATGTCCTATCATTGTGCAATCATACATGTATATATTTTCACATAATATATACAGAATAAACAGTTAATGTGGATTATGTAAGTTATTTCATGCTATATTTGGTCTGGAAAATCAGTTTTTAGAAAAGTCTTGGAAATCTGAATCACCTAGGTGTATGAACCCTGCATATGAATTAAATTCTTAAATGAGCTTTCCAATTATTTTAACTGTTTAGAAACTTAACTAGTATCTATTCTTAAAAAGGTAAGTCACTGAGAATCTGAGCTTAAGACTTATCTAGGCAGCAAATTCTCTGGAAACTTTACAAAAGCAAAATAAAGTATTTATCTGTGCATTTGAAAATACATATTATTTATAGTTAAATTGTAATTCCCAAATGTTTATTTCTTACAGGAACTACAAGCAGGAAACAACAGAATTACTGAAGTGCCACAAGAATTGCTGGAAACAATAAAAAGTGTAAAGATTTTGGATCTTCGAGACAACAAAATTTCTACCCTGCCCGAAGAAATAACAATTTTGCAAGAGCTTGAGCGTTTGGACCTCAGTAATAACTCTCTTTCTAGGTAGGTTTAATTTCTCAGGTGCAATAAGTAAATTGAGCTAGCATTACAGTTTATTCTAATTTTAATTTTGTTTCTGACACTAAAATATCAATTATAAGATGTTAGCACCTGCTTGTAAAATGCCTTCAAAACTTGATTGATGACTGGAGGGATATGTGACCACTCTCTCCAAAGTGAAATATTCAATCAGTGGGAATATTATTCAATATAGATCCAAAGTATTCTCCATGAAAAGCTCGCATAGCAGAGCAATCATACTTCTGGGTGTTGCACTTATTTTGAAGGCTTTGATACAAATTTATTTTGGTCATTACTTTGTGTGAGTTCAAGTTTCTTTCATGGAGGCATTTTGTTCTGTTTTTCCTAGTTGCAGCCTGTTGTAAGTCAGATGTGTGCTATTGATATAAATTACAGCTTCTCTCTTCAAGTTTGTAAGTTCTTGTTTACTTGTGAATCATAATAATAAGGTTTGCTTTAGGACACTAGATCATGGTATTAGTCATTTTGGATGTTGATTTTCTTACATCAGTGGATTAACAAGTAGCTAGACCATGATTTTGTGGAACAGACTCAATGCTGCCAATGGCTTGGATCTTTTTGTCATTTCCAGGTCTATGTTTTTGCCTGTTTTTCTCCTGCTGGACAATCAAGGTTCACCATTTAGTGCATGATCTTGGTTGCTCCCACTGAAACCCATCTGGGAACAATTTTTTAATATACCATTGGTTTTAGGCAATGCATTAACCACTCATTATTCACAATGCTTGTTTCTAACCCAGTCTGCCCTAACAAAGAAAGTGAGTTAGAGTGGGCCAATAACATATTAAAATAAGGCTTAGCAAAATTTAGAATGAACTGGTTGTACCAGGCACACATACCCAAGAATGTGCTTAATTCTTTTGATGTTGGGAAGTCTGTAACAGCTTTCACTTTGTCATAATTTGTGTGAATTCCCTCAGAATAGTGTTTAAATACTAAATATGATACTTCTGGTTGGCAAAATTTGGTTTTAGAAACATTTACAGTAAGATTAGCTGCATATAACATGTAGAAAACAAATTCAAGGTCTTTCAAGTGTTGTTCAGATGTGGGTGAAAACACTATAATATATCAATATAAGCCTTGGAACATTCAGTTGCTCCTGCTAAAACCTTATCCATAAGTCTTTGGAAGGTGGCAGGTGCATTTTTAAAACCAAAAGACATCACTTTAAATTGATAAAGTCTGTTATCAGTTATGAAGGCAATTTTATGTCGATCGTCCATCTTAACAGGTATTTGCCAATATCCACTTATAAGTCTAATGTACTGATACAGGTTGCCCCTGACAAAGCATTCAAAATATCACTTATGTGAGGCAATAGGTAGTAGTCGTATTATGAGACTTGATATATCTTCCTGTAGTCAACACAGAACCTATAATCATTAGTCTTCGTCTTTATAATAACTGCTAGAGAAGCCTAAGAAGAAGTGGAGGGTTCAATTAATTCATCATTAAGCATTTCATCTACTAGATCATGTAGCACTTGTAATTTAGTGGTAGAATGAGGATAAGGTTTACTAAACAATGGCTTTCCTGTCATGGTGACAATACTATGTTCAGACAAATTTGCAAGGTCAGGTTTATTGTTAAAACTCTCAGCATATTTCAACACAAGTTGGTTTAATTGTTCAGTCTTTATTCTTTAAATGTGAACATTATACTTCTTCAGTCAATATCTTTTCAATCTCAGAGTCATGCCTAATGGATAGCACAATTAATTAAAGAACATTTATGAAGAAGTTAAGGATTGCTTCATTTTCAATTAAGATGCAGCCAAATCTTTGATGACAACAAAACATTGATCCACAGTGCTATTTATTACTAATAGTTTCACTTCAAAATATCCTAATGGTTGACAGTTTGTTATTCTATCTGCAAGACACATACTCCAAGGTTTTAGTTGAAGTGTTGGATGATTTCAGTCTATCTGCAAGACACATGTTACCTTTACTCCAAGGTTTTAGTTGAAGTGTTGGATGATTTCATTCTATCTGCAAGACACATGTTACCTTTACTCCAAGGTTTTAGTTGAAGTGTTGGATGATTTCATTCTATCTGCAAGACGCATGTTACCTTTACTCCAAGGTTTTAGTCGAAGTGTTGGATGATTTCACTTGGTTTGTTGTCACACATTTTTTATTGATTACTGAATAATCCAACCTAGTATCTAACGACTTACTACATTCACACCTTTAATTTTTAGGGTTAGGTGTGGCTGATCCATTTTAGTTGTTGTTAAATAGTTAATGGAGGGTTTTACTTTCATAGGACTCAAAAACCTCTTTCTTTGATACTTACTCTCGTTTCCTGACTGCTCTCCTTCATTTCTTTGTTCCCTGTTTACATATTTTCTTTTCTTAGAACAATGCATAGAGAAGTGTCCTATTTGATACAAGTGTAGCATCACACAGGTCTATTATGGCATTCAGTTTTAGCCACTTCACTATTAAAAGTTTCTTGTTTATCGTTCCAGTGATAATTGTATAGTTTTGAAAATTTTAGCACATCAGCATTAGATATAACAAAATGGCATTCCAAGTATTGTCGTAAAGAAACGTGCAATTGTGATATTATACACTTCACAATTTCTCTTTCTGTAGCTTAAGGGTTCCATAACTTAAGTTTTTCACAGTTTTCCAAATAAACATCTCAACTGACTCCTCTTCATTAGTGTGGTACTTTTTACCAGAGTTCCATATCTAATTCGATATTATCTAACACTGCTTGGTACAAATTAGTTGGTGTTTCTTTAAATCCTTCCCAATGTTCGAAAGCCATGTCTGATCTGAAAGCCTTCCATCATTATAGTGTCCCTTCCCTCAAAAATGAAGCTGCAGTTTCCACCCATTTATTCTCATGTACTTGATACCTATTAAAATGTGTTTCTAAACTTTTAACAACTCCAAGACAATAAAATCTGACTTACCATCAAACTTCTCAACAGGCAGGGGTGGTGGATTGACTGCAGTGATATAAATCAATGAATTTTCCACAGGATTGAGATTGAGGGGAAGGAGACTTAGGTTCTCTCACTAGTAGATCAGTTATTATGCATTTTAGCAACATTTCCACTTGTTCTGTCAATATTGACACAGACTGCTTCAAGCTAGCCTCATCAGACTTGTTAACTCCCTTAGTAACACAGTTATTTTCAAACACAAGTTAACTTATATTTAACTGAACTTTCTGAATTATATTTCTGAATTAATCACTCAATACCAAATTGAGAAACAAAGAATCCAAAGTCACAATTCAACCTTTATGAAAAAAGATCTGTGCAATTATAGTAGAATCATCTGGTAATAGTCCATTCTTGAGGTGGACCTACACTGGCCAATAGGGTATAAAGATACTCTCTAATTATCAAGAAGCCTTACAGGTACAATACCTTATGCCTATCAGCCTTACTTATAATTGATAACTAAGCATCTTCATATTGTTACTAACCTATAGCAACAGAAAGTGGCAAAATGTCCTATCTGTTTGATGATCAGACCAGTATGTGTGTGTGTGTATCACTATATGGTACGTCTTGTAGATCTAAGTTGTATTAGCCATTAGTCTAATATTCCTTAGTTTCATCCATTCTACTGTTACACACACCTAGGGTCCAAGAGGTTAACACAGGAACTGATCTTACCAGTAGATTAGTCTATTGCCTGAACATATACTAAAACTAAACTAAGATGACTCTAACACTAGTGATAAGCCTATACTCATACTTACCATTCAGCTCACAGTAACTCTAATTGTAATTAAAACTAAACATAGTGACAATGTATTAAGCCTATAAATGAACACATGGTAACACGATTAACACTCTCTACTTGGGCTCGGTCCAATTGACTGACTGTGTGACCATCTTGTACTCGCTTCAAGTTGTTATAGTTTTGATACTACTAACTTTTAATATAGTATGTATATCTTCACAAAATTTGGCAGACTTTCAGTAAACATTACAACTCTTTCACATACAGTAAATCAGATTTTTTAATATAGTATTTTTTTAATAAACTAAAAGATTTGTCCATGAATATATCAGGTTTGTTTTACTTGTCCGAGTGCAAATTAATTTTCATTTTAAGATTAAAAATACTTTTCTTCATCTTAAATATCTCAAATTTTATTTGCATAATCTCTAAAACTTCCTAAATAAATTTTAAACGTTTGTTTTCAGTATTAAACATTATACTTTATCTGTTATTTTCCCCTACCCTAACTCTATACAATGTTGGTCAAATTGACTGACCTCATAATCACCAAAATCTAAATTGAAATAAATCTAAATTACCCTTTTTTTTTTCTAGAATGACTTCAAGTTGTAACATGAACTACATTTGTTTATCCTAAGTAGCTTTAAACTCATAACACTATACATTTATTTATACTTAAATTTTATTATTTTATTGCCATTGAAACCATGTATAACTATTATTCATGCAATTATAAGTTGTAAATTACTTGGGGAATATGTGGCTCATGTCATACTATTGAATTACATTACCCATGAGCTACCCTGAGCTGCTTGTGTGCATGCCTTATGAACATTTTTTATTATATTATTATTATTTATTTTACTTAATCTAACCTTAACTGACCTAAAGAGGTTCCTATTTTCACATCTTAGTTATTTCTAGAATAATAAATAAAGAATATAAATGAAAAACAAGAAATAAAGTACTTATCTGGACCTTCTTTTTTTTTTGCTCTCAATGTCGATGACACTTAACCCTACATTTTTTATACTAATGGTAGTAGTGCACTAAATAGTTTTTTTTAATTAAGTAATGCACTAAAAGACAAAGAACAATAACATGCAAAAAGCAGACAATGTCTAATAATTATCAGAATTTTTCTGGCTTTCTAATTGTGCAAAAAGAGTCATTACAAATTCATCCAAACTAGTCGATATATGCTTACTGTGGGAACAAAGCTTGTACTAACAGATAAATTGACAATTCTATGTTCAGAAAACAATGTAATATAATGTGTCATTTGATAGATGAAATCCTTGTCTTTCTACTGGTTATAAATAATGTAGTATTAAATGTAAGAGAGAATTATTAACAAATCTTGAAAGAGAGGTTGTGATGGTTGGGTGTGGTAAGAGGGTTCTGATTTTCTATTTGATGGCTCTGTAACTAAACAAAATTGAAGGCTATAAAAATTATGCTTTGTCTGAGTGATGACAATTTTATAGTGAGTAATTTACATTAAATTTTGTACTTATTGGAGGGGTGGTGAATAAATTAGAGAAGAGGGGATGTCACATTTCTCACACTTGGGGGAATTCAAGATTGTTTATAAAATTAAGGACTTAAAAGTTATGTACTATTAAAGTATGGATTATTAGCCATTAGAGCTCCAGAACAGCTTGTCCATTAGTGCACAGTCTAAGTAGTGAGGTTCCTAATCGTAAACTATCAACCACTAGGAAGCAAATGGCTAGCAGCAACCACTGTAGTTGATTATTGTGTACCTTATTCATTTTATCAAATAAATAAAATTGAATAGAGAACAAGAGATAAAATTAAGTGAAATTCTACATTTAAAGGAAGGTAGGCATTAAAAATAGCCTGACCAAACTTTTTATGGCAAATAATTAGTACTAAATTAAGACAAAACCATTTTCAACAACAACAACAAAAATGATGTGACATAATACCATGGTGCAAGTCACATGATAAAGAAATATATAACCAGGATATTGTGTGTGTGTGTGTGTGTTTATATATATATATATACAGAAACAAGAGACAGTTTTGTTACAGCAAATAACTGCATGATAGCCAAATAACGATGCAAAACAAAAGTACTGCAATATATTATCAAATAAGGGGGTAGAACCTCATGATGTAACTTGCATTGTCCTAAATTCAACTATACCCTTATTGTGCAAGGCTAGTTTTTTATTTATCATTATTTGTGGGGTACCATAAACAATTTGAATAAAGGGGAAGGTAGTTTTTTATTATTTTTGTGATATTATTAACTTTTTCTACATGGGATTGGTTGATGTGACCATCCTTATAACCACAAAGTAATGATCAGAGTTTTCACACTATAACTTTTAATATGTTTGTGTATCTTCATAGAATTTGGTAAGCTTTAAATAAACAAGTCTATGGTAAACAAGAAATCATATTTTTTATTATTTGTCTGTGAATATATGGAGTCAGAGTGTTGACAACACCAAGTGAAAAGAGAGTTGCATGCTAAGATTAAAAATACTAATACTTTTCTTCATCTAAAAATTTTCAAATTTCATTTGTAAAACCTCTGAAATCTCCTGAGTAAATATTCAACGTTTTTTCTCAGTTAAACTTTATATTTTATGTTATTTTCACTACCCTAACTTTATAAAGACTCAGTTGATTTGAATGAATTTTGTAACCACCATATTAGGAAACAAATCTAAATTACCTCTTTTTCTTTCTAGAATGACTGTTTTTTTTTTTTTAATTTTGTGTAAAGCTACATGAAGACTGTCTGTGCTAGCTGTCCCTAATTTAGTAGTGAAAGACTAGAGGGAAGGCAGTTTGTCATCACCACCCACTCCCAACTCTTATGGTATTCTTTTACCAATAAATAGTGGGATTGATCTTCACATTATAATGCACCATGGCTGAAAGGGTGAGCATATTTGATGGGACGAGGATTCAAACTCACAACCCGCAGGTTGCAAGTTGAGCACTCTGACTACCTGGCCATGCCAGGCCCTAGAATGACTGAAGGTTGTAAAAGGAAATTACATTTGTTTATCCTAAATAGCCAAAAGCTCATAACAGTATACATCTGTTTCTACTTAATTTTTTGTTTTATTGCCCTCTGAACTGTGTCTAACTAATAATCCTGCTATACAAGTTGTAAATGACTCGGCGAATGCATAGATCAAGTTACTGCATTAAATGATATATTGCAGGAGCTACACACGAGCATACATCATGGAGAATTATTATTAGTATGTTTATTTATCTTACCTAATCTAACCTAAGGAGTTTCTAATTTTCTAATAAGTAAAAATATCCATGAAAAACAAGAAATATAGTACTTACCTTTTACCTCTTGTTTTTTCTGTCAGTTGCTAATAAAATTTAAGTCTACTTTTTTGTACTGATGGTACTAGTATACTTAATAATTTTTATTTACTTATATAATGCACCTAAGAACAAAGAATAATAATACACACAAAGCAAACAATGTTCTATAACTATTAAAATTTAACTGGCTTTCTAACTATGGCATAAGAGCATTATAAAAATTCCCTAAACTTCTCAATCTGAACACTGCAATCTTTCAAACTGAAAACAAAACAGACAGTACTTTCTATACTGAAAACAATGTAAGATAATACCTCATTTGATAGATTAAAACTTTGCCTCTCTATTGGTTATAAATGATATTAAATGTCAGAAATAATTATTAGCAATTTTTTGAAAGAGAGGATATGATAAATCGGTGTGACAAGTGGGTTTGACTTTCTAGTTTATGTTTCCATAAACAAAGAAGATTAAAGACTATAAAATTAGTTTGCCAGAGTAATATCTATATTATAATAAGTAATATACATTAAACTCTGTACTTCAGAGAGGGGTGGTAAATGAATTGGAGACTACGCATGATCAAGGGAACAAATGATTTTTATACAAGGAGAGATTAAGGATTTATTTAAATATTCCATTTTAAAATTAAGAAATTAAAACTTATATAATATTAAAATTTCATTTATTAACTATGTTCTGATGCCAAGTTTATTTGCATACATTAAATTTTGAATGTAGCTCTGTAAAAGCTCACTTTATCCTAGCTGTAGTGTGAGGTGTAAGAGGTAACTACCATGCCTACAACTGGTCGTGGACAAAAAATATGTAGTTAGGTTCAAGATTTTGTGGGTTACATAAATATTATATACTTGTTTTTTTTAGTTTTCACAGGTGCATAGGTGTGATATGGAGTCATTTCATGTTATTTGCCTGCTTTAGTGATATAGGATTTTTTAAATTTTAATTTTACTTCGTCTGTGGTCTTAGCATAAACGTGGTCCAGAATGTTTACGAGATTACCTTATTACACTTGCTTTGTTTCATTTTTATCTAAAGCAGATATTGTCTATTCTGCCCAAGAGGACATTGCAGTAACATAAAGCATCTGACTTGAAAGGATTAGCTCTGTAATATCTTCTTCTGGCTGAATTGATGTTATTTCAATTTAACAACTGAACTAGGTTGGAAGAGAACAAAGTTCATGAGGTGATGCTATCAAATGGACAAAGAAACATGCTTTTGTAGTTCATTTCTACATGGTTTTTATTGTGACTAACTTAGCAGAGATTAATCTTGAGGAACAGAAGTTTATAGCTATTCACTGACCCAGTAGAGGTGCATCTATTTATCTATGCAGGCACACACACACACACACATTGTTTTTTGTTGTGTTTAAATAACGATTGTTTTCAAGGTTCACCAAACATGTCCAATCTGTTTGTTTCTCTTGCAATTTAAAACTCAATTAAGTTATCAAACACGGGTTACTGTTACTTTTTTTTATTTCCTGATCAGGTTTTCTGTTAATAGTGGGTCTAATTATTTGATACTTGATGGGAACTCAATTCAGCTGAAAATGCCATGTGGGCATGTGAGTTATGTACACGTCGAGGTTTAATGTGTGTCCTGTCTTATACATATTTGTTAGTAATTTATTGATGCATAGTGAGAGTTAAATTGGGTCAGAATTGTCTGGAATGGAGTCTTCCACTAGCATTCTTGGTCGTTTAATTGAAATGTCAAAATGCATCACAGAAGTAAGTATTATTTTGATCAACATCCCAATTTAACCATTGTTTATAGTCACAAATATTATGTACATGTTAATACTTTACAGGAATATAATCACAGATATAAGTATTGATACTTTACAGGAGTATAGTCACAGATATATATGAATGAATAAAAACCCTATAACCCAAACACTTTCGAAAGGTGGACCTTTCTTCTTCAGGGGCAAACAGATATACAAGTATTGATACCTTACAGGTGTATAGTCACAGATGTTATGTACATGTTGATACTTTATAGGTGTATAATCAAAACTATTAAGTGCTTGTTGATACTTTACAGGTGTATAGTCAAAACTGTTATGTACTTTTTAATACTTTACAGGAGTATAGCCACAGACATTATTTATATGTTGATATTTTACAGGTGAATAGTCACAGCTATTATGTACATGTTGATACCTTACAGGTGTGTATAGTCAGATATTATGTACATGTTGATACTTTACAGGTGTATAGTCAAAACTGTTATGTATTTGTTAATACTTTACAAGAATATAGTCACATATTATATAAGTATTGATACATTATACACACTGATAGCATTTACATGTTGGATTTATATATGAGAGAATATTTGCTTTATAATACACTGATATAAACATAAATCTTATGTAAAATTTTGTGAGCAGTATCCCTTATTCCATGGGTACCATGTCACATCTGAAATCCCTACTGGTTGAAGGCAACCCAATGAGGAGTATTCGAAGGGATGTTTTACAAGTAAGTACTGTGACTGTAACTTAACATTTTTAAAGCACATTTTTAGTAGAGTTTTGGAATTAAATTTTATATGTACATTAAAAGACACCATGGCTGCTAGTTTACTGTGATTTTTTTAATGTTTTTACAGAGAGATTAGTACCTTTTATTAAAATGATTTTGAAGTCTCACCATATCATTAAAGCCCATGTTTCCACATCTGGTCATGCTGTATCTGATAAACATGCATCTTGACAATAGCTCTGCAGTGTAGTTTGTATTGCAAAAGGCCTTTGTTGTAAGGTTATCATGTCAAAGTATTCCACACCTCCCTGCTTGCCTTTCATAATCAACATAATGTACAAGGACAACAGTTTCTTAGTGTGATCACACAAAAATCCATAAGCATTGCATCTAGTGTCTTGATGGGTATGTCTCTGTATAGAAAAGGATGAATATAAGTTTTGTTCTCTGCTTGAGATATGTGATGGTTGAATTGAAGAATTGACTGTATGCTTTATCTTGGTAAACATATACCCTTTTGGTTTCCTTTCCAGAAAGATATTGTTCCTGATTTTGTTACATTCTGCTACCTGTGGGACTCGTAGATAGCTTTTTCTACTGAATTATGTGTCTGTGGATTCTCACCTGTTACAAGATGCTTACCTGAGCTGTGATATGACTTGTTGCATTTTCCTTTCTGGGTGGTTCTGGTTTCCCAAGTTGATCCATATGCTTTTGTTTTCCAATTCCATTAAGTACAAGGGACATCCCTATCATGGAAATTCTAAATCCTCAGTCTGAACACATTTTTATGGGCTGTCCATACGTTTTTCAAAAATGATCAGTTTGCAGTGGCACCACATTACCTACAAAATGCCAAACAATCTCAAAATGTTATTTTTATACATGCAATTCCACTGCAACTTTATATTGGCTGACATACACATTTATAATCCTTTTAATACAATGCACTCAACCCTGTATATAGATGAAAAAAAAAGACATGTCTGTAAATAACTTTCTGTTTTTTTAGGTTTAAATTTACCATGAAAAGAGACTAAGAATGGTAGTTGACTTTCTGGTTCATGCTATGAGAGTGTGGTTGTGCCTATTTAAGTAAAATTTATATCTTTATTTTTAATTTACAAATAACTTTGTCAGATATAAAAGACTGTTTAGTGTAGGTAGTATTATTAATTAATTAATTTTGTGTTTGCAATGCATTGATGTCAAGGCTATTGAATGTTGTGTTTGCAATCCACTGATGTTGAGGCTATGGAGATTCCTAGAAGCCATAAGTGATAGACATAAATAGCTGTGACCAGATGAGTGGAAACAGAGTAAAAGTAAAGTCACATGAAAGAGAAGTTTGGTCAGAGAAAAGTTAGAAAACGTAAAGTTAACCATTGTGGGAGTGAATGGCCTAATGGTTGATATGTTAGAGTGAGATTAACAGTTTGAAGGAGATAAGGAGAAAACTTGTCTTGTCAAAGGATATTCTAAATTTACTGATGTTAGCAAATGGATTAACAGTACCAGTAATGCTTGGAGCGCGTAACAAACATCAAGAGATGGTACCAAATCACAACATGTCAGTAAGTGAAAGATATGTTGAGGACAAGAAAGTGAAGGTTTTACGAAACATTGGGTGCAGTAATGCAGCAGTGAGAACCAGTCTAGTATCTGATGACCAGATGACGGACAAAGTACATGTATGTTTACTAATTGATGGGACAATGAGGAAGTTTTCCATAGCAAAAATAAAGGTGGATACTCCATATTATGTAGGAGACCTTGAGACCATGTGCATCAAGGAACCAATACACGACGTGGTGATAGGAAACATACCAGGTAGTAGAAATTTGAAGGAACTGGACAGAAAAAAAATTGATGAAACATCTGCATTCACCATCAGAACTCAAGAAAAGAAGAGCAAACAAGACATCAAGCCCCTGCAAGTGTCAAACGGTGACAACCAAATGTAGGTTTGCAGTAACTGAAGGAAGCACAGAAGAAAACCCTTTACTGCAGAAACTTTGGGACAAGGTCCGGGAGAAAGTTGAGCACAAGACAAAGGGAAAAGATACTTGTAGAATAGAGGACCAGAAGTGAGTGCTATACCAGATCTATCAAGGTAGTTATACTGGGAAGTTTAACAGGTCCAACAAACTCCAGCACAGAATTTCCAATGTAGCACTTGGATGTTCTGATGATAAGACCTGCTGCCCTCACTTGCCAGAACAGCTCTCTAAGTCTCTTCAGATGGTCTTCCCATCTTGCAGTGTTTGTTAGAATGTCATCCACATAGTGCTCGATGTTGGTGGTGTTGTCCAACATCCTCCTCATCATGCGGTTGAATGTTGCTGCGAAGTTGACTAACCCAAACATCATCTGCTTAAATTGGTAACATCCATCTAGTGTCACAAATGCTGTCTTCTCCATCGGGATCTCTCTATAACATTTACTGAGGTCGATCTTTGAAAAGAACCTGATCCCATCTAGTTTTACCATGATACCTATAGGTTCAGAGTTGAACTTCATCACAAGATTCAGCTTCCGGAAGTCTATGTAGAAGCAGTTTGATCCATCCCTCTTCTTCACGATTACAACTGGAGAACAGCAGGTTGAATTTGAAGGCTCGATGATCCCGGCTTGCCTCAACTTCCTGCTTTATCAGGTCTCTCATTGCATAAGGCATCTGATAGGGCTTCACTATGACTGGATCCATGGTTGTGGTCTCGATCTTGTGTTGCACAAGGTCTGTCTTTCCTGTTCTGTCCATGAAGATATCTGCGTACTGTCACAGTTGGTCTCATAGCTCTTTTTTTTCTGTTTGCCAGTCAGTTCTTCTCTGATGTTGACATCTCTGTATGTCTTATTTCCACCCAGTGGTCTTAGGCCTAATAGGTCCTCATCTTCTAAGACAAAGTCACTGTCTTCTGGTAATGGATCTATGGTGCCCACACCTGCAACATTCATCTGTGTTTCAATAGCTGCACCCGTTAGGTCTTATTCTCTCCCAAAATACTTCTTCAACAGATTGGTATTGTAGATCTTGGTCTTCCCACTCACATTCACCTTGTAGTCCATTCTGTTGAGTTCTTCTTCCTGTACTACAATAGGTCCTCTACATTGCAGGGTGAGTTTGTTGTGATCTGTGAGCAGCAGAACTAAGACCTTCTGTCTGACCTGGAAATGTTGATCCTTGGCCTTCTTGTTATAGAGATGCTTCTGACTGCCCTGAGCTGTATAGCTCTGTCAAGCTAGTTGACAGGTCTCCTCCATTCAGTTTCTGAGGTCTAACACGTACTGGAATGTGTTCCTTACTTCTTCTCCCATCCATAGCTCTTTCAATATTTGCCTCAGACCTCGTACTGTTCTTCCATACAGTTACTCGAAAGGTGAAAATCCTATACTTGCTAATGGGACTTCTCAATAGGCAAATAATACTGACTGCAAGTAACTGTCCCAATAATCTGGTCTCTCTTAGCACAAGGTGGTGAACTGACAGATAGTCATGGAAAAGGAGAAGGTAATCCATATACAAGGGGAACCAGCTCTGATGACCAAGCAGCAAGTCAGATCCTTCCTGGGGTTAGTGGGATACTATGGGAAATTCATCCCAAATTATGCTGAAGTTACTGCACCATTCCTGACCAAGAAAAGCTTTCCCAACAAGGTGAAGTGGGAACAACCACACCAGGTGGCATTCCAGAAATTAAAGAACATGTTGGGAAGTTTGCCAATTCTTAGAATGCCAGACTTCAACAAACCATTCATTGTTCAGGCTGATGCTTCAGACATCGGAATTGTGGCAGTACTCTTATAGGAACATGAAGATGGACTGTTTCCGGTAATGTATATAAGTTAAAAGTTGATAAGTAGTGAGAAGAACTACTCAGTGATTTAACAAGAGTGTTTGGCCATCATATTTGCCATTTAGACATTCCAGAACTATCTATAGGGGAAGGAGTTCATCATTCAGACAGACCATCAACCACTTGCATACATTCAGAGGTTTGAGGATCACGAGGTAGGAATTGTACCTTCAGAACTACAGGTTCTGCATTGAAGCTATCAAAGGGACTGCAACTGTTGGTGAAGACTGTATGAGTAGACTTTGTGTATGAATAAGGAACAGTCCTTGTATATAGTAAAAAAGTATTGTAAATATTTGTCTTGAAGAGGGGTTTACGTCATGATATAAAATACTGTTTAGTGTAGGTAGTATTATTAAATTATTATATAGATAGGAATATCACTTCCTAGTCTAGTTATTGTACTAAATATGGTTATGTAACCATATCTTTCCATGTTTGAGTTACATATAGCTATGACTGTCACTTCCTAGTCTAGTTATTGTACTAAATGTGGTTACGTAACCGTATCTTTTAATGCTTGTGTTACATATAGCTATGACTGTCACTTCCTAGTCTAGTTATTGTACTAAATGTGGTTACGTAACCGTATCTTTTAATGCTTGTGTTACATATAGCTATGACTGTCACTTCATAGTCTCGTTCTTGTACTAAATGTGGTTATGTAACTGTTTTGTTTTCATGTTAGCTTTGCATATGGGTACTGTTATGAATGCTAAGAGTGTTATTTACAATCTTATTGCCAAATTTTGAAGAAAATATAGAAAGCTATATTGCTATCAGTCTAGTCTTTTACTTTTTTAATTACTATGAATGCCTCTGAGATATTCTTCAAAGAAAAATTACTGAAGTACTAATGTATTCATTTGTTTTTGTTTTTATTTTAGATGCACAAATCCTTAAAATTACAGTATTAACATTTGAGGATAAAGTTATAATATATAAGTTTTATCTTGAATTTGTGTAATTTCAATTATGCAATGTGAAGCCTAAGATGGCACAATTTCAACCTGATTTCATACTATATGATTTATAGCAAGGAACTGTTCACTTATTGAGATGGCTGAGGAGCAGAATGGAAGATAACTTATCTACCGGAAACAGTGATAGACTTTCTAGTGCTCATCAGGAAATTGGAATAGATAAGCATGCTCTTCATGTTATGCACACTCTTGATCTCAGGTAGAGCATCATAACTAAACTTTTTATTCAAAGTACCAGTCTTATACATCTTTAGATAGACACTGTAACATCAACACAAAACCTCAGTTCCATAACAGAATCCTACTATCAGTTAAAAACATTTACCCTACACAACTTTAGTTTTATAACACAATCTTAATCTCTTTAATATATTTAACATATACAGCTTTAGTTTCATAACAGGCTTTTCATCTCAGTTAACACTCCTGCTATGGGTAGGTTGAAGTACTCATGCTCTTTTACAGTTACATTCAAAATTTAATTAAAGTACTTTATAATCAATTAATATGAATAAACTTGGCATTGAAACATAGTTAATAAGTCAAATTTTTAATATTATATAAGTTTTAATTTTATAAAGAAGTATTTAAATAAATCCACTATCTCCCCTAGTATGAAAATTGTGATATTTATTCTGTAGGTCCTGCCTCTCCTCTAATTTGTTTACCACCCCTCTCTGAAGTACTAATTTCATGTAAATTACTTATTGTAATATAGGTATTATCAAGGCAAAGTCCAACATTTATAGCCTTCAATCTTCTGTATTTATAGATTCTTAAGCTAGAAAATCAGTCCCACTTGCCACTCCCACCTGTGACATCCTCTCTTTCATAAATTATCAATAATTCTCTCTGATGCTTTATATCATTTATAACCAATAGAAAGACATGGTTTTATTCTAACAAATGACATATAATGCTATGTTGTTCTCAGTACAGATAACTGAAAGTTTCATCTTCAGTTTGAAAGTTGATTTTGCAATGTTGAGATTGAATAGTTAAGGGAATTATTTTAAGCTACTCTTGTCTTTGTTAGAAAGCCAGTTAAATTGTAATAGTTATAGGATATTGTGTGCTTTGTGTGTGATATTATCCTGTGTTGCTAGGTGCATTATTTAAATAAATAAAAATTATCAGCAAAAACAAGAAGTCAAAGATAAGTACTATATATTTTTTTTTTTCATGTATATTCTTTATTTATTGTTATACAAGTACCTAAAATGTAAAAATTAGAAACTTAAGTTAGATAAGAATAGATTAAGTACGAGAAGGAAAAATGATAAAAATTATTCGTAAAGTTGCTTGCAAGTAGTTTGTGTAGTACTTCATTCAATATGGTGATGTGAGATATGCAATTTTGGCTGGATTATTAGTTAGATAATTCCAACGGCAATAAAACTAATTTGAAGCAGATGTAGACTGTTACAAGCTTTAAGCTATACAGGATAAACATTTGTAGTTTTCAGTTATAGTTTGTAGTCTTTTTTTCTGGAAAGAAAAAAGGGCTAATTTAGATTTATTTAGTATTTTTTATGGTGGTTACAAGGTCAGTCAAGTTGACTGTATTCTTATAGAGTTAGGGTAGAAAAAATAAAAGATAAAATATTTAAAATTTTACTGAAAACAAACGTTTGATATTTATTTAGGAGGTTTTAGAGGCTACACAAATGAAATTTGAAAACTTTCAGATAAAGAAAAGGTATTTTTGATATTAAGATGAAAATCATTTTGCCTTTGGAGCAGTCGACACTCTGACTCCATATATTCAGGGACAAATGTTTAGTAGAAGTACAAAAGACTTAATGTTTACTGAAAGTTTGACAAATTTCACAAAGATGTACATACCATATATGATGGTTATTTTGTGGTTAAAAAAAGTCAGTCACATCAACTGACCTTCTATGAAAAGAGGTAAAAACATTTGACCTTCACAGCTTTAGTTCCATAACAGGCATGACATGGTCTAGTGGTTGGGGTGCTCGACTTGCAATTTGCGGGCTCAAATTCCCATCACAAAACGTATTCACCATTTCACCCATGGGAGTATTATAAAGTGACTCTCAATCCTTCTATTCATTGGTAAAAGAGTAACCCAATGGTTGGCAGTGGGTGGTGTTGAGTAGCTGCTTTCCCTCTAGTCTATCACTGCTAAATTATGGATGGCCAGCACAGATATTCCTCGAGTAGCTTTGCGCAAAATTCAAAACAACCAAGCAAATAGTTCCATAACAAGCTCTTAATCTACATCAGAAACATTTAATCTATAACTTTAATTTCATAATACATGCTTCAACCTAGATCTTTACAGGTTTTCTTTTGAGAAACACAATTTTATCTATACAGTTTTAGATTCAGGATGTACCATTGATCTCATGGATAACATTGTAACTTTAATTATAGGGTTGTAATAATTGCTATTGCTAAGTGGGCTGTCTAGCTATCATACTATTCATCTCTTGAATGGGTAATTGTAGAAAAAATGCTTCTTTTCAAAAGTAAATTACAGGAAAATAAACAAAACAGGACTTCCTCTCTTGACTGATTGAAAGAAATATTTTGAAGACAGGAGCATGAATGCAAAAAAATGCATGAAGAAAAGAATGTCTTTAAGTACATATTTGTTTTTGCTCTGTTTATATACATTTTTTTTTCATGTAGATGTTATATACATTTATGATTTTATCGTACAATGTAAAATAAATTGAATTAAATTATATATTTCCCCTTTGCCTATTCTTATAGAAATGACAAATGTAGAAAAGTGTTTACTTCCATAATGATCTTTCTTTGCACTCAGTAAAATAATAAGGAATGTTGGTATTCTGTAGAAAAAAATCCCAGTGGCTACTTTGCAAAGCTGATGCTCTAATGTATTGGATGCACCTATTGCATTGAAAACCAAAGATTTTTGCCAGCATTCCCAACAGTGCATTGTATTCACCCTCTTTTGCTTAAAAACAAATTTTCTTTAATGAAATAATACATGGAATGACGAAAGATGATTTAAATGGCCCACTAGACAATCATGCATATACACTCTGATCCAAAAGATTGGGTTGACTGTACATTTTATATTTATTCATCACTATGTTTAGGAAAATTACCATTGAATTATTTCAACAGAAATCTGCTACTTATATATAAAGTTATAATTTGTTTTAAGGTGTGTTTTCAGACAACAGGTGAATGTTTCTGTCTTAAAGTTATAAAAGAATCACAAAATGGAACAAACTATCAGAATAACTTGGAATTAGAGAAACTAGTTATGGCATATTTGTGTGTCCTCTTCAGTCTCACATTGTTTTCTTAAACTACAGCTGTGAAATTTAAAGTGTTGTACCTAGTCACTGGTATGTACTAAAATCAACCCTAAGTTTGCATGTCCCAACTTTGTACAGAGTGCCATTCAATATGATATTATGCATTTAATGTCAAAGTTATCAACTGTTAATATTATCTTATACTGCTGATTTTGTAATAGCTCAAGTTAGAATAGTGAAAATACCAGATACAATTTACACGATTACTGAGAAAAACTGTAGATATGGATTTAAGAGGTTCTATAGGTTATGCAAGTGCAATTTATAGATGGTATGATGAGCAAAATATTTTCATTCTTCACGTGAATATTACTCTACATACTGACTTATCAAAATCTGCATCAGACTGACTTTGGCATTACACAGATATATCCTTAGTACAAACATTTTATTAACACATCTTTTGCATACAACATACTCGTATTGTTTACTAGTTTAATAGTGTGAAATAAAAAAGCACCATTTTTACTGGGCCTTTAAATCTTCTACAAATGAAGCAGCATGAAATTATTATTTTATAAAAAAAAACAACTGTAATCCAATTGTTATTAGTTCATATCCTGCTTTATGCAGGGACACAGGACTCTCTAATTCTTAGGTGCATTTCGTCTTCAGGTTTCCCAACTATAGAAAATTTATCTTCAACTGTAACTGTTAATTTTCTATGTAGCAAAATATATCCATTTGTTTTGGTTCAATAATTTTAGTGGATAGCCATCTAGTGGTGCATCCCACACATTTTGTTAGGATGCAAGAATGTGAAATCCTCTGAAGAGAAAAGAACATCACTGCTTGAAAATACAAATCTAAGTCCAAAAAAAACAACAATTAGCTAACTTTTTCTCAACTAACAAAGGATGTTGTTCTCTTGTCCTACTGGTGACAGTAGACCTCAAAACATTGGAGGAGGCAGCACTGTTTAGAAATTCAAGTGATTGAACTAATTTAAAACATAATTCACTTAATTTCAAAATCTTCATTAGTCCTCATTACTTCATTGTGAAAACTGGTATAATCTGATCAATCAGTGCTTCTGCTCAATTAATTTTAAAACCAGAAGACTCTGAATAATCAGTACTTTTATCAAGTTAATTTTAAAACCAGAAGACTCTGAATAATCAGTACTTTTATCAAGTTAATTTTAAAACTACTATAGTCTGAGTAATCAGTATTTTATCAAGTTAATTTTAAAACCAGTATAGTCTGATTAATCAGTATTTTATTAAGATAATCTTAAAACCAGTATAGCCTTGATTAATCAACACATTTATTAAGATAATCTTAAAACCAGTATAGCCTTGATTAATCAACACATTCATCAAGTTAATTTTAAAACTTCTATAGTCTGAGTAATCACTGTTTTATCAAGTTAATCTTAAAACCAGTATAGTTTGATTACTCAACACATTTATCAAGTTAATTTTAAAACCAGTATAGCCTTGATTAATCAGTATTTTATCAAGATAATCTTAAAACCAGTATAGCCTTGATTAATCAACACATTTATCAAGTTAATTTTAAAACCAGTATAGTCTGATTATTCAGTATTTTTATTAAGTTAATTGTAAAACCAGTATAGTTTGATTAATCAGCACTATTAAATTTATTTAAATACCATTACTAGCACAAAACATTTGCAGTGAAATTAGTATCTTTATTGCAGCAGTACTTCTTTAAATACAGGATTTCTAGTGACTCTTTCACCAAAGACTTTAATAGAATCAATTTCAAAATAATTCTAATTGAGGATGCTGAAATCTACAAGTCTACTTGTCTTATGCTGAACATTTGTTAAGCCTTTATTAAGTATAACTCATAGTTGATAAATAGATAACACTAACTTTTAATTTAATTTAATTAGGGCTAAACTTTACTGTATATGAAACTATTAATATATAAACTTATAATGTTATTCTATGCCCTAATGTTATACTTTTTTTTACAGAAACTAAGTATTATTATAATAAATAGTCTGATTAATCAACACTTATTAAATTCATTTTAAAACTAATAGGCATAAAACTATTAAAAGCACAATTATTTGAAAACCAAATTGATCATTGTAAAGATTTATAGGCTTGAATCATATTCTGTTGTTGTTTACTGATGTACTAAAAACATATTGAATTGTATTTAACATTAATTTGTACATCAAAGTATATAAAAGTAGTTTGCTTGAATCATATACTGTTGTTAACATAATTGTTTACCATAATATCTAAAGGTGGTAAATGGATATCATGTTTTATCATTGGTTGTGTATCAAAATATCTATATATGCTAATCTTGAGTTATTTTCTGCAGCTAAGCTAAAACTTTGTGGGATATTATTCAAGTAGCAGAAAACAGTTTGTGTTTCTGCAACAGGAAAACAGTAAATATTTAATCAATATAATGTATATTGTGAGGCAATTAAAGGTTGTTGGACATTCTTTCAGACTCCATTTTTCATCATAACTTAAAAGTGCAAGTCAACATCTTTTACTGAACCTGTCAACTTGATCATAAGTATAAAATGTGATTAGTGTATTGCAAAAGACAAACTTAGTAAATACATGTTCTATTAAAACTTCACTTATAATATCTGAGAAGAAAAAAGGTAAACCAGTAGGTTCTTCCAGAGGAGTATTAACGTAGAATTAAGGTGATAACTAACATGACCGTGGATTCTTTCATTATGTTCTGTAGGGAGGAAACTAAAATCTCTTAAATTATTAATTACAGCCATCATCACTGTAAAATTTTAAGTTATGTTGAATAAGGAGAAAACACTGAAATAAATGATTAATTCCAGCCATGTGCTTCTGAAATCTTATTTGTTTGCAAGAAAATATTCAAGGAAGCTTAACAAATCACATCTGAGAATAAACAGCTGAAATGCTGTTTGTACATACATTTAATTTTAACTCTCAAATGGATGATAGAAGGGATAAGTAGGATAAAAAACATGCTGTTAAACATGACATGTTTCCATATTTGTTAAACTTAAAATACAACGTTACTCATGTAAACTTTGTATTTAGAATTACAAAATACTCTTTTTACATGTAATTTCTGCCATTCAATAGAGAGGAAATGTTAAAGTTTGATCATGTAATCATATTTTGAGTAGCTTTTGTAGAAGCCATTGTCTTAATCTTTTCTTCATTGATTTATAGTGGCAAAGTTTTAAACAACATTCCAGAGGAGCTTGTGAAGAAAGCTGCCGAAGAAGAAGTAACATCAATAAATCTTAGCAAAAATGCTTTAACTGATATTTCACCATGGTGAGATTGATTTATTGTTTTCCTGTCCTTTAGAAGTATCTAGTGATTTTATAGTAAGACCTTGACTGGTTAATTAGATTGTCATCGTAATTAAATTGTGTGTGAAAGTTGTATTATGTTACTTATGTTGGTAACTGTGCCGTATATTAGTAAGAATGATTATCTTTTTACATTATTAAGGCCTGTTATTATTAATGTTTATATTAATAGTATAGTGTTCTTAAGTTTTTAAGTGACATTATGTTGATTATGCTAGTAAGAAGTATTGTGTTTTTATGTTGGTTTCGCCATTATATTAAGCATACTAAATGTATCTAACAGGTCTTATTAATAAGAAGTGTAAAGTTTTCTGTAAATCAAACACAGATATTTAGTAGATGTCAATTTGAATTTTACATGTTTAATTATTTTTCATTATCTTGGTTAAACGTAGGTCTACTTCAAAGAAACATGTGATGATGTGTTTTTTTCATAGTTTTAAAAAATCAAAATTATTTTTGTCTAATTGTTGATTTTGTTTTCTAGTTTAGATATTCTGGCATCAAAAGTGTCAGAACTAAATCTAGCCTTCAACAAGTTTTCATCATTGCCTCAACTTGTTGGGAATTTCTCAAAACTTTTGTACCTAGACTTGAGGTAAGACTTGGAATTGTAGAGTTTATTTACTTCATTTAATATTACAGAAATTGTGTCTTATGTTTCACCTCTTTTTGTAGGATGTCTGATATTATTTTTAAATATCAAGATTTAATAACAGCTTTTGGGACTAAAAGAATTTCTCGAAGAAAGAAATTTACTGATAGAAGTAGTCACTATACGTGATATTTTTATGACATTTGGATTCTGTCTGTATTAAATTTCAGGTAATATGTCTTAGTAAAAAGCATTAAGTGATGTTTATTTTATTTTATAGAAATAACCAGCTAGGTGACTTGCCCCTGGAATTGTCAAAGTTATCAACATTGAGAGAGTTATACTTGTGTAACAATAGGTATGTTTCAGTCTAAAAAGTGGGTTAAAGTCATATATAGTTATTGCCAAACTTATCTGTATTCAAACCTCAAATTTGTTTAAAAAAACATAATTTCATTTTTACATCATGTGTTTTTGTGCGAAATATGATTATAAGTTATATATAACACTAACTGTAAGAGCTGTACATGTTACGAAAGCTAAACTTATACAGTAGATATGTTTTAATGCAACATTGTGTCTGTGTAATATACAGATTAAATATTTTGTCTGTGTTATGTGTGTTGAGAGAGTTAAACTTGTACAGAAGATATGTTTTAATGTTACATTGTGTCTATATAATATATGGATTAAATATTTTGTCTGTGTTGTGTGCATTGAGAGAGTTCAACTTATACAGTAGATATATTTTAATGTTACCCTGTGTCTGTGTAATATACAGATTAAATATTTTGCCTATGTTATGTGTGTTGAGAGAGTTAAACTTATTCAGAAGATATATTTCAATGTTTAATTGTGTCTATAATACACACAAGTCTAATTGGTTTGTGGGGGGGAGGAGTTATATGTTTCAATATTCAATACCATTGTATGGATTAAAATAGAATTTAAAATAACAGTTGCAATATTGAACAGTTGCTCTGTTTTACCTATGGTTTAAATATTTCTTACATGTGTTCCATACTGAAAATAACTAGAAGATATTTATCACTGAGCTGTAAACTTTACCTTTGTATCAAAGCACAATTGATGATTTTTAATATGAAGATTTGTTTGTAAAATGTAATTTAAAAATACTAATGCTTGTAAGAATTAAAACATTTGTTTCAAATACAAGTGACATTAATGACTTTTTTTCTTGATACTAAGGATAATTGAAATATTAATACCAGGATTCATAAAAAGTAGTGTGTTTATTAGAACTTTCACAAGTTGAAAATTCTGGACAAAATGCTGTAAAGTAACATTTGGCTGTATACTGAGTGATGTAAAAAAAAAATGTTTGATTTTTACACAACCCAGTCATTCACCAGCATGGCAATGTAATAATATTTAGAAATACATGTCATTAGGTTTACTAACTATCCAAGCATCATGTGCCTGGCTATCCAGCTTTTAGAGTCTCTTCCCATCTCTCCATTCTACAGTGTTTGTTTCCACATCTTTACTCTTATTATCAAAAACTTGTGTCTTTTACTGTCATCATCACCCATACTAACACTACAATACAAGACACAAACATAAAGTTTTATTATTGTAATTTTTTCCAGTTACCAGTTTTTCTGCAGATTTAAGAGTTCATACAGTACACAGACTACAAATTATCAAGTGCCACAAAACTTGACAATAAGATTTAATATGCACCATAAATGCCTTGTCTTTCAAATTTTCATAGTTTGATGACAATGTCACTAATGTTTACTCACTAGCATTACCTAAGCCTAGCATTGGCTGAGAAAATAGATCAATTTTTGGTTCCATAGATGCTGAAATTTAGTCGCCTCAAACTAATTAAATCACTGTTAGGAATGTTTTGTAAGCATAGCCTCAACCTGTATTTTTTGTGCACAAACTCAAATAATTCTTTGAATTATGAAAATAAACAAGTAAACTATTAATTTAAATGAATATAAAATACATTTTCAAAGTATCTTAAAAAAATGTAAACAATTCCTACAGTTTTTAAAATGGATATACTTGGCACCACATGTATATCAAGTAATAATGTGTATCTTATTTGTAGGTTCATATATGTATGGATTTACTTGGAACTTGTATGTACTAATATGATACTTATGTGTGTGTGTGTGTGTGTGTGTGTGTGTATATATATATATCGCATTACCGTTCTTGGTCCATGTTGTCACCTTAAAGTCATAAAAGATAATGTCTGTGGTAATAGCACCCAAATACATTGGGGATATCCCATCTATCAGACAAAATCCAAACGTTGATATTAAACTAGTCAGCCATCATTAAAAATCAATTAAAGGTACGGAGTTAAGTGCTAACATCCAAAACATCTTAACTCCTATTGCATTTTACTGTCTGTAGGCAGTTTGTGGGAAGGCAGTTACCCTGAGAGTTCTTAAAGTAGGGAAATATTGGAGAATCAGATTAGGGAATTTAGTTTTTAATATAAAGTAAAACTTGTAATAAGATGCTTGGAACATGTTTATAAAAAAAAAAAAACTGTTTGCTTAATTGAATTAACATGAAAGAGATAACATTAACCATAGAGAATGATAAAAACCTTATAACCCAAGCACTTTCATGATCACAGTGAGGTTACCCAACTGATAATACATTCAGGGGCAAACTGTTTGCCCCTGAAGAAAAAAGGTCTACCTTTCGAAAGTACTTGGGTGGCAGGGTTTTATCATTTTATATATGTATTCAGCCCTACTAATAATGTCATATTTTGATGAAATACAAATAATGTAAACAATGTTTTTATTGAAAACGATAGTGATCAAACTTAACACTGATATGTGTGAAGGAGGTTAAATGTCAGCAAAACCTGCAAAGTAAATATATAAATTGAAATTTGGTGATTGCATAAGTATTCAGACCCTTGCGGTGGATTCCTGTACGTGGTGAACGAACCTCCCAGGGAAGGTTCTGTATTTTCAATTTATCTCCTCAGGGATCTAAACATTTACCCACGTGTTTACCATGTGTGCCGACCCGTGAAGAGGAGGAGAGGACCCTGGTGGTTGATTGGTATCTGGGGCACTGCAACACAGGTGGCATTGGGGTGATACCCCCAGGATCAATCAGCTGGTGCTATTGGGCTAGGGTCAACTGAGTACCTGTGTTGGGTGTTCTCAATGGGTGTTGTGGACATTGTTTCTAATGCTAGTGTTTGGGTATAGTGCTCATGAAACCCTGGCATTGCTGCAGTTTCTTTGTTTTGCATTGTAGTGCATCCCCTTGTAGGACCCCCATGGTGGGTGGGGTCAGTGGGCACTGACTTTTTTTCCTTATATTATGGATCCCCCAAATCCTTATAAAAATAAAATAATAATAAAAACAGCTCATAGATAAGCGACCATGTCTGAAAGACTCTAAACAGCAGTCTCCACCTCTTTCTGCACCTTTACCTCCTTTTCTCATCATGCACTTTTTTGTCAGACAAACCTATAGGGCAAATGCCTCCCTTTTTTTATTCAGAATGGATTAGAGGGGCTTGCTGGCTCTCCAAAGTGAGACAAGAAGCTACGTTCTGGGGACATTATGGTGGAAACATCTACCCCAAAACACAGTGAACTCCTCTTGAATTGAAGGCCATTGGGATATACCCATTGATGTTACTCCCCATGCTACTTTAAATTCCTCATTAGGAGTTATTGTCAAGAGGGATTTAACAAACATTCCCGAGTTGGAGATCCTCGCTGGTTTCTCCAGTCAAGGAGTTTCTGCTGTGCGATGCATCTCCACTCGTAAGGACAGAATTATGCTTCTGACTAATGTTTTCATTCTGATATTTACATCACCACATCCACCTGCCACTGTCAAGTCAAGTTATCTGAACTGTAAGCTACGACTTTATATTCCTATTCCTCTCTGGTGTTTCCAGTGTAAGTGGTTTGGACATTCAAAGACATCTTGTTGTGGTTCTTGTGTTTGTTGTGGTGGCAAAGACTACAATGGCTATGAATGTCAACTGGACCCTCACTGCATTAATTAAAGTGGTTCCCACCCCTATTACTATCGTTCTGGTACTAAATGGGTGGAGGAGAAAGAGGTACCACATTTAAAAACTCTTAACAGTGTTTCTTACCCTGAGGCTCAGAAGTTATTATCCCCTATCTCGGACATATGCCGCTGCACTATGCTCCACTGCTACAGTGGGAGTGCAGATGGACCTTTCTGTGCCTCTGTCAAAGCCATTTTCGGATCATGTGAAGAGCCTTTTGCCTTCAATAGATAATTGAGTTGACAAGTCAACATCTGCTCCTATCTCAGTCTCCACCATTCCTACAAGTGACTGCCTGGGTCTACCTCCTTTGATCCCAGGTTCAGGTGTCTGCTCAGGTCCATCTTCTTTGACTCCAAGATGCAGAGTGATTATTCGTTCATGCCCTCAATTGCTGGAATCTAAGTCTAATGACAGAGATCTGCCCACTCGACTAAGAACAAGATACATGAAGGTTGACAGACCTTCTTCTAGTAAAGAAAAACGGCGTGGTCGTAAACACAAGGGTTCTCTGTCCAGTTCTCCTCCACTTTGGTACAGTGAAACTGTCAAGGTTTTCATTCTAATGTGGATGACATTAAGGCCCTGATTGATTACTATCATCCCATGTTTTCCTTACAGGAAATATTCCTGAAACCTGCCTGTGTCACTCGATACACCCTTAAAGGCTGTAGCCATGTGTGTTTCCTTGGATTGCACCATCACTGTTTGTTCTCTCTACCTGTCTCCTGGAGAGACTTATGATCAATCAGACTTTGATGCTCTTGTTGAACAGTTGCTATCTCTCTTTTTCATCCTGGGAGACTTAAATGGACACAATCCCCTCTGGGGTGGTGCTAATATTGATAGGAGGGGTCATTCTGTAGAGCATATGATCTCAGATCACAACCTTTCTTTCTTCGATACTGGTTTTTATACTTATTTTGATGCACCTAGTCAGTCTTTTACTGCCATTGATCTATCTATCTGCTCCCCTTCACTTTTCTCTTGCATTTCTTGGAGGGTTGACAGTGACCCATAGGGCAGTGATCATTTTCCTGTCTATTTTGAGGGAGATTACCCGGGGCATTGCCACCCGACCCAAGTGCCATGGTGGAAGATGGACCAGGCTGACTGGCTCTGTTTCACCTCTCTTTTGGAACTTGATTCTGCTGTCATTAGTCTTCCATCTATTAATGACTGCAAGGTTCATTATATACCTAAAACATCAACACATTTTGCACACAGTATCCTTGTCCATAGTGGTCTTCAGCCTGCCAGCAGGCACAGAAGGCTCAGAAATGGGCCTGTGATACTTTTCGCAGGTATTACATTCTTTC